TGCTGGAAACGGAACTTCTCTCCAGTTTTAAAGTTTGTATCCCTGGTGATGTTTGTACCTAGAGAGCACTATATAAAGTGGTGCTCACTATATAAGTGGTGCTCTTCAGGTACAATCTTCCTCAGCCTACTCAAGCTCAACTGATGAGGGGTGAATTCCCCGAAACACTGTGTATTAAGCAGGGAGTGGTGCTTTCTTGCAGGTTTGCTGAGTCGAAGGTTTGAGGCACTTGTCGTGTGCTCTGGATGGCAGTCGTGAGTCAGTCAAGAGTTGGCGGAAGTCGACGGAAAAGCATGAGCTCCAGTATGGGGAGCAAAACCCATTTCCTATAAAATTATCGCGAAAGTCGCTACCTCTATTTTGTAAAACATATTTCAACAAAAAATGCTGTAGGGTAGTTTCTGTAGTCCCTGGCTCATTTATATTTAACTTGTAACGTTAGCTATGAACCTTCCACGCTGGAAGGCTGTTTGTGTGTGCATACAAATGGGCTAGAGCTGATTGCCAGGTCATAAGATCATTCAGTAACAACCACCAGTCCTTGTATGAGCTGACTGTTAGGTCATAAGATGTCAGTAGCAAGCGCCAGTCAATGCGTGAGCTGATTGCAGTCAGGCAGCATCTTGTCTCTAATCATACTTCAGGCAAAATTACACAATAGAAATATCACAGTCTGTGAGCGAATACAGCACAGCTCTCGGTATAGGCAGTGCACGCTCTTGTTTACGAACTCTTGTTACTGTCCGTTGTCCACTTTCTGAATTGTCACTGACTATAGACTGCTCATCGTGTGTTCGCCTGTGATGTGCTTGGCCACATGCTTATGCAACGCTTTCCACCTGTTGAAGGTGAGACTGTAATCTTATCATTTCATGACATACAGTAGCTGTTACATGCTCACACCTTGCTGCATGTAACCTGTAGTGCTGTTGTTGTTGTTGTTGTTGTTGTTGTTGTTGTTGTTGTTGTTGTTGTTGTTGTTGTTGTTGTTGTTGTTGTTGTTTCCAATCTTTATTCTCACGATAGCCAGTGGCCTATAAGAGATAATTGTTGTTGTTGTTGTTGTTGTTGTTGTTGTTGTTGTTGTTGTTGTTGTTGTTGTTGTTGTTGTTGTTGTTGTTGTTGTTGTTGTTGTTGTTGTTGTTGTTGCTGTTGTTGTTGTTGTTGTTGTTGTTGTTGTTGTTGTTGTTGTTGTTGTTGTTGCTGTCGCCATGTGACGAAAGTGGCAAAGCCATGGATTCGTCCTTGCCTTGACCCTGTGCCCTCGCCCAAATTGTTCGAATATATTATAGATATAGATAGCTCTGTTTTAGCCATTTTCGTTGTTCTAGCTGCACCCACCTTTCATTTTCTGAAGACTGGCTTGGTGTGGTACCTAAGGTTGTGTTTGCATGAGAATTTTCAACCCGGGTTGAAAGTCTGAACGATAGACAAAATAGGTGGGTGTTTACATGAAGACAGTTGACACGGGTCAAGTACTGATATACCGCCAAAAGTCCACTTCTAGAGTCCTATATTGTCACGTGAATACTTTCGCGCGAAATTTGCCTGTGCAGTGCTGTTCAAACCTGGCGAGATATGCCAAGAAGTATGGTAGTACGATTTCTCGATTTCAACCCTCCCCCCAAGCAGAGGGTTGAAATCGACCCGGGTTGAAATTTCAGCGCGGGTCAAGGGCAATGCGTCATGTAAACGCGCCAGTTACTCTGTGTTCATGGCGGGTTGAAGCGCCTCATGTAAACACACTTTAACACAGCCTAACAGTAAATATCTGTCCTGTGTTTTTGTTGTTCTTATTTCAGAATCTTTGAGTGTGGAAGATCGTCATGTACTGTCAGATCTGTCATTGCTACGTTGCATATTCTCACGATGCTCTGACAAATCTGCCAGGTAATCCTTGACATTGCTCTGTATTCTTTAATAGGACCCCGAAGTGATGACGGCACACACCTCGGTTGTTTCATGGCTACCACTAAAAAAATATGGCATCCTTCGCCCAGGTTTTTGGTAGGGGTGAAACAATTATCGAATACTCGAGTACTTGCTCGGTTTTTTCAAAAATAATCGTACTCGGAATAAATCAGAGTACTCGTTCATACATGATACATGCATTTACCATAGAAATCTGCAGTTTCAGAGCAGCAGTCGGCAGATATTGATGTGCAGACTGTGTGGTGAACATTTCTTCACGAGTAGAGAGAGCGCAAATGACCCACCAACCAATATACCCGAAAAAATGACTGCTACTCGGTTCAATCAGGGTTGTATCATGTGATTTTAAGGCCCTTGGTGTGCAATTTTTAGGAGATGAAGAATACTCGAATACTCGAATGTTCGATCGGAGAAAATCAGAGTACTCGTACTCGGGATCTCAGTGCCAACTTTCACCCCTAGTTTTTGGTGATATTCACAAATAATTCTGTGAACTGAAAAAAATTCGAAACCTTGCGAGATTCAAGCAAATGTGTGATTTGTCATGGTAACGAACACGGTTTCTTTTCTTTTTTTCTCTGCAAAGTCCACATATCTCCAGACACTGGGGTGGATAATGGAGTGTGGTGGTGGGGCCCATTAAGCTCAGCCGACCAGGGGTCTCAGCTTCATAGCTTGATGGACGCACCAAAGGGAGATCGGGTAGCGAGAATTAAGTTGAAAAGGAAAACAGAAGAAAGAAAATGAAAAGATTGTATTGCTCAGTGAGCAAAAGACTAAGTTGGGTATTGACATGAACACTGTTAGACTTAATTCAAGAGGAGACTCTGTGAGGAGAGATGATGTCCAAGCAGGGTAGGACACTGTACCCTCTTAATCACGTATGCTATGGTGGCCCAGTGCCAGTTTGTTCTGAGGAGATGGTGATAAGCCGCTGTCTTGAATTTTCGGATGTTCTTTGGGTGAAATGGGTGGGGAAGGATTGAGGCAGGCAGCTGGTTCCAAATGGGGATGACGGAGTGGGGAGGTTGCGAGAATTCAAACTTTCAAAGTAGCAGAACAAAAAATGTCCTGCAAAAAGTGTTGACAACAACAAACGAGGATAGGAAAGAAAGGGGAGGATAGACTACCTTGGACGTCAGGTTGTGCTGGACTACGTCTCTTCTTGTTGCCAATACAGAGCTCAAGTGGGAGCTACAAGTACCGTTAGAGCGTATGCCATACCGTGGAAACAAGTAGGAGAGCCAAGGCTCGTTGTACCTTGCCCCGGGTGCATGCCTGGTGACCAGGTGCAGTCGCCCGAAGCTGGTACAATGACTGAAGAAGATGACTAGCAAGATGTTGGGCGAAACAGCAGTACACACATGCATACAACTTGAGGCTAATACGCTCTTCCAAAGAATAGAGGCGGTATGTGCGAAGAACACGTTCAGTGGGCGTGGTAAGATCAAGTCCAAAAACCTTCTTGTGAAACAACATGGATCTGAAATCAGTTTGAAGTTCTGTTCGATTGCATCCGTTCGATCGAATTCATCGGCTTAGCAGGAATCCACATTCAGGTACACATACCACAATCGAATGCAGCCTTACTGTCAGTGGCTAATATACTCTTCTCAAATTTACTGTACTGAAATGTACCAGTTTGAAATTTGAAGTGGCAACTTCAGTCTTAATAACATAAGAGAGAAACAGTGATGGCTATTACTTGTCTGGTACTGGGCAGGTTATTACCCGGCCAGTCTCTAGGCAGTTACTTTATTCTTCAATTGCTATGCTTTACTGTGTGCTCTTCCTTTGCTTTTTGACACTGAAGTGTTCGAGCCCACGCTTTGGCTGTCTTGGCAGAGATTGGTCCTAAGTTCAGGGATTCTATTTGCCTTCTCTTGCAAGAGACGACTGACAATGGTAAGCCTGTGTCGAAGTACATTACATCAAGGTGTCACTTTACTGGATTATAGGGCATACATGTACATACTTTCTCATTCATCAGAATGGGTTCCGCACAACGTAATTATAATACTGATAAGAAGGACGCAATTACGTTAGTAAAAATTGTAGTCGATCTACGGAAAGTCTTACGTACACTCCATGCAAACCCGTGTTCCGCCATACAGAGTTTCGAACAACGTAAGCGAAGGCAAATTGAAACTTTCATGTGAACCTTGACTGTGATGAGTATGAGTTGTGTCATGAGACAGATACAAGTTGTATGTAAGGCCATGTACTACCAAGAGTCCATACCCCCCCCCCCCCCCCCCCCCCCCCCAGAGTGTGCAACTTCCACATACCGTATACCCTGCTGTCCCCACAGAACTTCAAGTTGACATCATTTTTATGATGCATTGCTCCTTGCACCAGTGATTTACGACATTTGCACGGGGTGTCAACGCCGCATCACACATCTTTCTTTACACTAGTTTGTACAGGATCAGCTGGGCTTTGACCCACCACAGGTTCAGGATACGTCTGATAATCTGTGTACAGTGTGCATTGCATCATAAAAATGACGTCAACTTGAAATTCTGTCGGGACAGCACCCATAGTCGAGTTGCACACTCTGGGTACTCTTGTGTACTCTTCGTACTACGTATGCAGGGCTGCACACCGCACGGTGCAGTCCCCTATGCCAAGTGTCGGATTTCGCTTTCCACAACTGTAGAATCCTCCCAAAGTCCCAAGTATATCGAAATTACAGTCAGATGGAAATGTGAGTTTGTGAATATCATGGGTCCAGAATTTCCTTCTGTGTGTACGCCGTTCAATTACACAGACCTCCTCGTAATAATACACCGAATCCATTTCCGCCTATTCCGAAATGAAGATAGGATATCATAGTCTCCTGCGAGAATTTAATCATTTTGTGTAGGCTCTCTTGACACCACGAGCATCTACTGCATGCAAACAGCTGATTTGTGCAAAAGAGTCGTATCTGTCATATGCAATCTCTTGTCATATGCAATCTCTTGTCATATGCAATCTCTTGTCATATGCAATCTCTTGTCATATGCAATCTCTTGTCATATGCAATCTCTTGTCATATGCAATCTCTTGTCATATGCAATCTCTTGTCATATGCAATCTCTTGTCATATGCAATCTCTTGTCATATGCAATCTCTTTCCACGGCGTTTTAAAGCGGACTGTGAGTACAGAATTTGCGGCACGCACTTAGTTCTTTTACATGCGCGTGACCTGCTCATTAAGGTATCGAACGTGTCCGATGTTTGCTTTCTGAACTTCTATGTTTGGTGTTGTCGTTATTATTTGTCAAGGCCCTGGCCCCTGTCATGCCAATATCTTCATTCCGATGGTAGTTCGTCGCAGTGGTGATGAGAAAGCCATTGTTCGCAAATCAGCACTTCAGGTGAGCTGAATAGTAACTTTCCTAATGTTTCCCCTATTAGGCTACACCAAAAAGAAGCCTCTGGTTCCTGAACAGGAGGCACCATGGATTTGGTATGGGTAGGCTCAATTTTAATTTGAGGTAGTAGCAGCAGTAAAACCACCGCTCCACCTGATGTCGAAGTTGAGTGCAGAGTTAGATGTCACGCTTTTTGGGAAACAAAACAACACCACAAAAGTGAAGCATTCCGCGGCCTTTTGCCTTGCCAGTTGAATTGTCGGCGACATGTTTTCTTGTTCTCAGGTTAGTACATTGTATTTGGGTACTGTTATCCTTTGACCGCGACAAGTTGACTTGCCAAGCGCCTGTGAATAGCTCCTCCCTGACTCTATCGAATGGCAGAGCAGGGCAATTATTCTGTTGAATGAAAACTTACCATTGCACTGAGAGTTTGCACGTTGGGGGAAACTCACTGGGAAGGACGCCGAGACCCGGCGACTGTTCAGCAATCAACAAAATGGTAGTAGCAGTTGACATTGCAGACATGCCAGATACAATGGGGAATGGGTTAAGGACCAGCTGAATTTGACTCATTCCGCAAGGAAGTTACAAGGTAAGCCAAGATGCGCAAGAATTCGTCTTCTAGGAAAAAAAGAAATCCGCCAATTTTGCAGAAAGGGGCCTTGCAAACTAAACTACAGTCAACTTCGGATATAACGACAATTCGCGAATAACGACAGAATTTCCATGCCCAGAGCAAAGTCTCATCCCACTGTAATACATATAATGAGACTTCGGGTATAACGACACTTCGCGAATAAGAACACCTTTTTGACGCCCCACCGAGTGTCGTTATAAGCGAAGTTGACTGTACAGCCATTAATTTGCCGGAGCAGATATATATATAGAGAGAGAGGGGAAATCTGCATCATGTCCCCTTGTGCATATCCTATGCCTGCCTGCACATATCCTGTGTCAATTAGGAGTGCACCAAACACTGCTAAATAACAGTGGTGGTAAATCTTGTGCTTGTGTTATTCTGTTTACGTAGGCACTGGAGCTGCTTGTCAGCTTGTCAAGCGTTGCAACTGAGGTATGTACTATCCAGACTACAGGTGGAATCCTGATATTTCAAACCCAAAATGCCAGGGACGTACTTCTTATTATCCGGACATTCTAATTATATAAACAAACAAGCCCGGTCTAGGCAGCTCGAGGTAGAAAAAAACATGCTGCTGTCTGATAATCGCTGAAATGCACGAAACTTTAACCCTTTCACGGTCTCAGAATCCAGTCAAAATGAGGCTATTTACAGAATTCAACAATTTCGTACCTTGATTCATCCATAACTTCAGTTTCCCTTCGCTTATTTTCGTGATCTTGGGCTCTCTGGAAAGCTCTGGACAAGAGCAACACGCCGAGCTACAATTCGACACCAAGCGTGCCGTGGATCCAGCGCTGCAGCGCAGCGACATCGCCCCAGTGCTTGATTCACGACGAGAAACAAGATTCAACAGCCATTTCCCTCTCCTTGCTCACATCGAGCTCATATTTTTTGTGAGGAGTGCTGCAAGTCCATACTCTCATTTGAATCCGTGTCTCTATGGCGACAGCTAGCTGCAAAGGGAAAAACCCGTCCTCAAGACCCAGCTCGCCCACTCAAATCGTAAATGAGCCGTGACGCAGATCGCGAACTTCGTAGCATCGCAGCCGTTCACTCTATCGCTTCGGCGATTGTTCCTACGGATAGCCTGGAGCTTTCTCTTCAACCCAGATATTTAGATGTTCGAATTTGCTCAAAAATTAACTGAGTTACGATAGTTTGAAAATGTGAGACGGTGAAAGGGTTAAAGTTACAGCTACACAGCCTTTCGCCTCTGCTGTGTGTGCTGTGTGTGTGCTGTGTGTGTGCTGTGTGTGTGCTGTGTGTGTGCTGTGTGTGCTGTGTGTGCTGTGTGTGCTGTGTGTGTGCTGTGTGTGTGCTGTGTGTGTGCTGTGTGTGCTGTGTGTGCTGTGTGTGCTGTGTGTGCTGTGTGTGTGCTGTGTGTGCTGTGTGTGCTGTGTGTGCTGTGTATGCTGTGTGTGTGCTGTGTGTGTGCTGTGTGTGCTGTGTGTGCTGTGTGTGCTGTGTTTGCTGTGTGTGCTGTGTGTGGACATTAAATAACACATGCCTCTGCTGTGTGTGGACATTAAATAACACATGCCTCTGCTGTGTGTGGACATTAAATAACACATGCCTCTGCTGTGTGTGCTGTGTGTGTGCTGTGTGTGGACATTAAATAACACATGCCTCTGCTGTGTGTGGACATTAAATAACACATGCCTCTGCTGTGTGTGGACATTAAATAACACATGTCTCTGCTGTGTGTGGACATTAAATAACACATGTCTCTGCTGTGTGTGGACATTAAATAACACATGTCTCTGCTGTGTGTGGACATTAAATAACACATGTCTCTGCTGTGTGTGGACATTAAATAACACATGTGCCCACAACACATGTATACCAAAATGCTCGCATTGTTACGCTTGCACTGTGCACCTTAGACGCAGATTTGGCGGACACTGATGTGGCCAGGACGGCCTGCTCATGCACACTCAACAGACTTGTGTATTGTACAGCCAACTTCAAATTATGCTTTGCTAAACTGCTGTATTCCCTATTTTGAAGCAATAGGCTATGAGCTTAGATGGTTTCAGGCAACAAAACTAAGCATGCAAGTGTCTGAGCATACACCACTAGACCCAGTCAAAGTTCGAGACAGACGACGGACGGGTACATCAGGTTAGCGCGCAATGACAAAGTAGAACCTTCCTTGACAAAATTCTGGATCTGCCCATATATGGATCTGCCCATATAAACAGACAGGCAGGCAGGCAGGCACTTCGCCACTGTGGATAGCCGAAAAATGCAGCAGAAAGACTTAATACTCATGTCATGCCAGACACTTCATTGTGGGGACTTCTGTGAGCATATAGCACCTCAGTGTTACTCTAACATCTTACAGTGCACACTTGGGGGACATTTCACACTAGCTGGTAATGTTTGCTACATCGCATACTGCTGTGGACACTAATTTTATATTTTGGTGGATTGTGTGTGTTTGTGTGTTTGTGTGTGTGTGTGTGTGTGTGTGTGTGTGAAAGCACTTCTGACTTGCGTGAAGTTATCACCACATTGTTAATTTTGCACTTTTTGTTGTTATTGCTGTTGTGGGTATCACACCTTTTTGGTTTTATGGTTAGAACACGTCACAGCGGGTGCGGTGTAGCACAGCATAGTATTATATAACTGCTCCTTGGCAAGCTTGCATATCTTTGCATACCTGATGAGGGCAATTTGCCGAAACGTTGTAATAACTGATTGATAAAAAGAGTTCGATATTGGAGAGTGAATAGTAAAGAGCGGTCTGCTCTGAAACATGTTCCTATATTTGTCATCTTGTCGTTATAACACTCGTTGTTCTTGCTATTACGGCGTTGTGAGGCTAACTCCACCTGTGCCAGCAGTGGCTGAGTGGCTGATGAGAGCTATGACATACTCGAGAACGTGTACGGCTTGTACGGATCAAGCTTATTTTTGGAAGTGCATCACAAGTTTATGGAGAATAGCAGATTGTTTGTTCTTTCGTTGAATTGGTATTTGAGAGAATAATCTTTCGTGGATTCAGCCCTTATGTGAAACTTGTTTTCCTCTGTGGTCTGACTAGGTTCTCCAAGCTTTGCGTGATCGTTGCCGTGATCCAGCATTATCTGTACGGAAACAAGCTCTTTCATCACTGTCTGGATTGCTTCAACAACAAGGAGAGGACTCTCAAGTTCAAAAGTAAGTTTCAGAATGCCTACAAGCTGCATGGCAGATGTTCTGGTTTATGGTTGGTTTACATATCACCGGCACGCACTGGGACCGGGGCTGGGAATGCCTTCGGTAAATCGTCAGCCATGGGGGCTGTGTTACTATACTAAAACTTCTAAAAGGTGTTATTTCTATAGACTACTATAAACCATAAAGTACAGCGAGATCGCCCCACCATCTCGTCCTTTCATAGCCGTGTTGTGGAGGTGGTGTCCTGTCTGTAGGTCATACGACACGTACTTTGTGCACACGTTGCCCATTGTGTAGTCAATCCGTACTCAATTTACCTCAGGCGGTGTTTACATGAGGCGGTTCAACCCGGGTCAGATTTCAACCCGCCATGTGCATAAAATGAATGGCGCGTTTACATGACGCATTGCGCTTAACCCGGGTTGAAATTTCGCCCCGGGTTGATTTCAACCCGGGTCAAGAAAATCGTACAAACGTACTTCTGTGCGTATCTCGCGCCAGGTTTGAACGGCACTGCAGATGCAAATTTCGCGCGAAAGGATTCACGTGACCATACAGGACTGTAGAAGTGGACTTTTGGCGGCATATCAGTATTTGACCCGGGTCAACTGTCTTCATGTAAACGCTCGCCTCTTTTGTCTATCGTACAGACTTTCAACCCGAGCTGAACTCGACCCGGGTTGAAATTTCTCATGTAAACACAGCCTTAGAGCGGATGAGAGCTCCGTACAAAACATGCAAAGTGTGATCTTAGTACACTACGGTTTTGTGACCTTAGTACACTAAGGCTGTGTTTACATGAGAAGTTTCAACCCGGGTCGAGTTCAGCCCGGGTTGAAAGTCTGTACGATAGACAAAATAGGTGAGCGTTTACATGAAGACAGTTGACCCGGGTCAAATACTGATATGCCGCCAAAATTCCACTTCTAGAAGCCTATATGGTCACGTGAATCATTTCGCGCGAAATTTGCATGTGCAGTGCTGTTCAAACCTGGCGCGAGATACGCACAGAAGTACGTTTGTACGATTTTCTTGACCCGGGTTGATTTCAACCCTCCCCTTGGGGGGAGGGTTGAAATCAACCCGGGGCGAAATTTCAACCCGGGTCAAGCGCAATGCGTCATGTAAACGCGCCATTCATTTTGTGCACAAGGCGGGTTGAAATCTGACCCGGGTCGGAAACGCTTCATGTAAACACAGCCTAAGGTTTTGTGACCTTAGGCTGTACTCACACTACTTGAAAGTTTTACGCGAATGTCGCGTTCAAAACTAGACAAAAGTACTTGAAAAAGCCTTTCCAAGCATACTGCACTCCAGTGACGACTTGAAACATTTTTGTCAGCAAATTACCATGGAGAAACATGATTGTCATGTGGTAGTTTTGCAAATCCCGAGGCTGCGTTCCTTCAATTTTTTTGCGCTCGATCAACTTATTTGAAATTTTCAGTTCATGAGAAAAATAGAAACAGTTATATCTTGCTTGGATCGTGGAGTTCATTCGCCATGCCTCGCGAAGAAGTAGCACATCGTCGACGGATGAAGAGGTTTCTCTCCACAGCTCGATGAGCTTCTTCTCCAAGTCGTCAGAAAACACTACGCGAGGCATGATGTCGGTACAAAAGCAATGGTACAAAAGAAATGCGACAGAAACGGCAATCAAAACAACGGGAAGCTACTGGAAGAAAGAAGACGGAAAATACTCGGAAAAAAACACCACAGAATTCAGAAAAAGGAAACAAGTATATGTACAGGAGCAGTACGACCACGAGGAAACAAAGCATGAAAAATATTCTGGAGCCTTTCAACGTACAATAGTACTCCGGCCTCCTGACCTCACACAGCTTTCCAAACGGCTTGAAAGCAAAAAACCTCATAGAAGAGGGTTCCGTTTCCGCTGAAACCTTTCAAGCGGCTTTCAAGGGCTTTTTTCATTTTCGCAACCGTCGCCGTGGCAACATTCACACGTAAGTCACTTGTATGCGGTTTTTCAAGTAGTGTGAGTACAGCCTAAGTACACTAAGGTTTTGTGACCTTAGTACACTAAGGTTCTCACGCTATACAAACTTTTGCATTTTTTACTCAACTGTGCAAATGTCCCAGCACAGTACAGTACTGTACTCTTTAGTGCTCACATGCACGTAGTGCATCATAGAGAAAACAGGGGTGTTGATAGTCCTGACCATTCCCATCTCCAGTGGCGCTTTTGATTTCGCTTGTGTTTCCGACGGTCACGGTATCACTTTGACTGGGGCTCGTGCAAGATTGCAAGTTCAAATTTGTTTTACTTGTCTTCAAGAAGTTTCTCTTCGCTGCCAAGCCATCGTGCAGTGTGTTTCCTGCTGAGTGTTCACCATCGTGCAGTGTTTTCCTGTTTTCCTGCTGAGTGTTCACCAGCACCTGAGAGATAGAAGTTCTGATTTCCACTTGCCGCCGCTGGACAAGGAAACGAGCCCAGAGTTGGTTGGTTGGTTGGTCTCAGAACCAAAAGAAATCAGCGATCGCTGAGATAGAAATTACAGAGACACCCATCATTGTCATCATTGCTTCTTGGCCGGCGACTACATGTAAAGCTGAACGACAGTACAGGCACAGCAATGGCTAAGCAAAACATCAGCGACAAGTAGTAGTTTATTTGAAATAAGTATTCTCGCTCGCGCGCTCCCCAGTCAAAATGATGCGGTAGCTGTGTTCACTGCATGCTGCTGCCACTGCACACACAACAAGCGCAGGTGACGCGCCTTTTGTGTGTCACCACATGGCCAAGTATTTACGCGTTGTCACGAAACAGTGACGTCCGACTTCGACGGCCTATTGTCGTTTTGGCTACAACCCTGATTCTCTGATTCTAGGACATCAGTCTTTCTCAGGGTCGGCGCCCCTGGTACTGCTGGTGCGACCATGGCCATACCAATTTTCACCAATTCCAGCGTTCATGGGCTGCTCAGTGTGCAATTGATTGTCTGGCAGTACTAGTAATAAGCTATCTTCAACACTCCTCGCTGTAGTCTCTCCCTCCTAAACTGTTCTTCTTGTCCAGTGAGGCTAGAGGAATGTGTAGCTGAAACAAACAAGCAGATCTGAATCATACGATGCATAGAGCTAGACATGTATCCTCCCAGGAGTTTAAAATTGGACATCAGTCCTGTAGCTGACCTGGGGCCATGCCACCACTCAGGAGCTGGCTCCGGGCTTGTTTCTGCATAACAAATTGAGATCCCTGCCTCAATTATTTGCAAAGTTGCATCTGAGATTTGTCTGCATATCGGCATGCGAGGCTAATGATTGCTAGTTTGGAATAAGCACTGCATTGTCAATAATCTGCAGGCCTGACAAGCAATGTTTGGTCAAAATCTTACACCATCTAAGCAGAATATTGATGTGATGTCCTGTGATTTTTGTTCTCTTTTGCATAGGTTGTGGTTAGAGGCAGTTCTACCTATGGTACTGGATCGTGAGACTTCTGTCAAGCAGCGTTGTTGTCAGTTACTGCAGACATATATTCTCAAGTACATAGAAACAGCTGTGCAGTAAGGATCATTGCCCCCCCCCCCCCCCCCCCAAGTCTTGTACATCTTGCCAACACGTGGGGTTGGCTTGTTCACACAGGTATCAAGGAGCACCCATGACCTCACATGAACTGTGCATCGCAACTCACCACCTGCTTCACCTGTTCGTAATCCGCCACCATCACAGGTAGTGTGTCTGTCACCATGGTGCCGATGAACGGTCATGAAAGTAACCTGGCAACCAACTTCAAGGATCAGTCCACCTTTAGTATCGAATGGTGTAGACGGTTGCGACCCCAGGCTTACCACATCCCTCCTGAAGCTGTATTCTCAAAGAGTAAATTAACTCTTTCCGTGCTAATGACGTATGTATTCTCAAAGAGTAAATTAACTCTTTCCGTGCTAATGACGGACGTAGACGTCATGAGTGCCATCCACCAAACGACTAATTTCGCTCCGCTGCGTCATGAGATGTGCTCGATATGTCGCAGAGCATAGACCAGAGTACGCACTATCGTAATTCTGTCTAGCATAGGCCAATGGCGACAATCAATACACCATTGGAAAGGTCTTGAGCACAGCTTTCCACTGATACAAAGTTCTATGCGATGGGAGGAATATTGACTGAGCGGCCACGGTCTGAACATGGAAATCACGGCCCTGAGCGATCGTGACTTTTTTGTTCATGCCTTGGCAGTTTTTTGGTGCGTGCCAGACGATTTCCCTTTGGCACGGCGCATGTAATAGACATAAGGAAGCACGTGGATCTCAGCAGCAGTGCAGCACAGTTTGAATCGTGAAAATCGGTTGGACTTGAGGAGGAAGCTGGAAAAATGTGCGATTGAGTTGCTGTGTCTTTCCGCGGCATGGTGAGGTAGTTTCGAGAGGACGTAGAAGTGGCCCTGATGTGCCGATTAGGCTGAGAGCTACCAGGATGGATTCACTTGGTCTTGATCTTTTCAATAAGTCCAGAGTGATGAGAATCCATCCAAGTGACCTGAAGTGAGAGGAAATTCCATTCGGAGCTGTGCACGAAGCGACACCAGGAGTCGGTGCGCAGGAAAGTCAGTTTGCTGGAGAGAAAGTGGCCAGCACAGAAAGGGTTACTGTAGGTCCCCAAATATTCGGCGCATATTTATTTTCGGCTATTTTCGGCCTGGGCATTTATGGCCTAAAATTTGTTGCGGCCGAAATTTTGTTTTGCAAGGTTCAGTATGACAGTGTGTACAGCAGCAGCAGTACAGGCTGAATTTTAAACGCGGCCGAAATGTGTTTTTGCCCTGGGAGGCCGAAATTTGAAGGTGCCGGAAATTGCCGGAAATTGCCGGAAATTGGTATACTTCCACTCTTACAGTAACAAGCAACCATGACACCATTGCCACCATGTGTGTGTGTGTGTGTGTGTGTGTGTGTGTGTGCGCGTGCGTGCGTGTGTGTTCTGTTGCCAACGGTCTCGGCTGCTTGAAGGTGTAATGTTGTACCTGCCACCTTTGTTGGTTCCAGGGTTCATATACTTTCTATTTGAAGTATACATACAGTCAACTTCGCTAATAACGACATCGGATATAACGACAATTCACGAATAACGACAGAATTTCCATGCCCAGAGCAAAGTCCCATCCCACTGTAATACATATAATGAGACTTCGGGTATAACGACACTTCGCGAATAAGGACACCTTTTTGATGCCCCGCCGAGTGTCGTTATAAGCGAAGTTGACTGTACCTGTTAACCATGGACTGCTTCTGGCTAGATTAACTCTTGTGTAATCAATGGTGCTAGTGAAGCTTATATCGGATTCACTCTGATTTAGCCACCCACACTAGTAGCAAGTATTACCTTCACTGGGGCCAGGGGTAACTGCAGTTGGATCCCAGGACGGATACCCTGATGCCGTCAATCCTTTTTCTGCACCTTGTCCTCACCCACTTACTGAGGTGTGGTGAGCCCATAGGTGGGATCATTTTCAAGTCCACCCAGAGTTTTGGGGATTTCAGGGGGTGTTGGCCGTTGGGTGGTTCAATAGCTAATTGAGTCATCTTTCCAAGATTCCTTTTGAGTCTCTCTCCCCTCTCCCGGGGAAACCCACGTGACCAGTTTTGGCAGTGAGCAACAAGTACAAGTGTGTGTGTGTGTGTGTGTGTGTGTGTGTGTTATTGCTTATGGTGGATGTGTTTCAGATCAGAATCCAGTGAACACGACCGTGCGTGGAGCATGTTATCCCACATTGCAGCCAAAGAAAGCACTGAACTGAGGTAAGTCGCTTACATCTGAAGGTACTAAAGGAGGCTCCAACCTTCTGCGGTGCACAGCCAATTGGGCGCTCTGTTTTTTGCAGGCGATAGTCTATTTTTTGCCAATAAGTGCCACTGAACTATGGTTTAGGTTCCTATTGTTCTCTCTGCCATTTTGTCAGTGGACTCTACGTTCAAGGTCAGTAGGCTTCGGCCTGGATCACGATTGTAATGGTATGCTGCATTGACCATGGATCATACCGATGTCTAGATCCAGGGATGAGAAGCCCAGCATTTCAGAACCCATGGTTTCGCATACTAGTAGTCTCCATGTACAGTGCGTATCGGTTATAGCGTGATCGTGTAAAAGAATATACTGCCTACAAGAATGAACTCTTATGTTTTCATAATCATAACATGGATTTCAAGTGCACATTTATTCTTACAAGCAATTTTATCCCATAGTAGAATATATCGGTCCTAAGAATGGAGTTTGTGTAGCGAAACATGCCAGATTAGTACAACGTGTATCGCCTGTAGTAATAGCATCTGTCCAATTCCGTTCTGATCTGACTGTCGTTGCGTCGTAGTGCTGCAGATTCAACTGTTGTGGTCATGTAACTCATTTTGCATAGCCACATGGTAAGAGTCTCTACTAAGACTATGGGACTATGACCAGCCACATGCACAGAAGTACTGTCATCATGTACGATGATCTTCCTGCCCCTGCACACATGCATGTGATATGCCACACTTGATTTATCGTGTGGAAGAAATATCGGAAATATGAATAGAAAGTCGTTTTTCAAACACCCACGCTATAACCGATACCTACTGTATGCTACGGCAATCTGGAGGACTATTTACCGGTAGTATATATTCCAACGATTATGGAGAATCGACTAGTTTTCTGTGTTTTTCAAAATTTTGTATAAATTAAGAAATTGTGACACTGTGCAAGAAATTGTATTTTGTGGACAGACATTTCTGCTAAACTTCATTGTAGCCTGTTGCTATGTTTTGAGTAATCTAGGCTGATTGACAGATTTTCTTGCTGAACTGCTTTTGTCTGACATGTATAAGATCTTGCAGCCACAAAAAGACACCAGGAGACTGATATATTGTAATGGGGAACTGTCACCCAAAATTGTCTTTGCCTTACCTTGTAGTCTTTTGGCTCCTGATCACGATGGTGTGTTTGGTTGCGCAGCTTTGCTGTCCGAGTAGTTCACAAGGCACACGTGCACCGTACTTCGGAACAGTTTGCTAGAGCGCCCAGCGCACGGGCTTGACTTCGTTTTGACGACGCATGTACACGACTTAGTGGAGGTCGAGTCCGACGTGACGTCATGTCTTCCATTCAAGTTTTCACCCACTCCCAATCATTGCAGAAAAAACACAAAGTACACCATCGTGATCCGGAGCTAAAGGGCTACAAAATGAGACAAAGAAAATTTTTGGTGACAGTTCCCCCCTTGAATATAGAGGTTACACAGAACAGCAAGGGCAATCAAGGCTAGTTAGTCGCTACTCTGAGCTTCATGCATTATGCAATCATCAGGCAACCTGATGATTGCGTAATGGATGAAACTCGGAGTAGCGACTAGCGAGCCTTGACTGCCCTTGTTGTTCCGTGTATTACTCTCTGTCTCGGCAGTGTTGTGCATTGCCAGCACACTGGGTGCACCCTCCGGTAATATACAGGTTAAAAATGATCCCAAAACAGGCATTTTAGGCCAAAATTGATAAATACCCCTAAAAAAAACACTCAAACAACCGTATCATTGCAGGAAACACCCCCTGAAAGTTTTTTGAGAAGTAACATTGGGTGGCACAGAGTTAGCCTAGTTCACATTTGACGGGGCGTGACGGGACGCAACGTAAGGAGCGACCGGAACCGACGGGACAGTCTGACGGCGTCCAGTGTGAACACCAGGAATGGGAACGCAGCCGTACTACCGTACGGATCAAGAAGCGACAGCAAGAGTTGAATCTGTTCAACTTTTCACACCGTAGACGGGGACGCAAGCCGCAAGCGTACAATACGGCTGCAATTCGAGTGTGAACAAGAGACGGCGCTACTCACGATTTGTACTTGGACTTGTTTAGCATCTCGAATACTACGCTTTCCATGGTAACTTACAGAGTGGCTAGCACGACTTGAGTTGAAATTTAGCAAGATAAGATTTCATGTCATTCCTATCTTTAGGGATAGTTCAGGAGCGTGACAGACGAACTGTTTTATCATTTCCTGGAGCTATTACAGTAAAACCTGTAATGGCGACCACTCGGATATGGCGACCACTCGACCATGGCGACCACTTTTCCTTGTCACGGACGCATTCACATTCAAAACACCTCGGATAAGGCGACCACTCGCTCAACGTGACCGACGACCACCCACCCGCGACCGAGTTGCACAGTGCTAGTCATGTAAATGGTGCACCACGCATGGTAGATCTACACATCAGTGCAGGAAGTGTAGATGTACATGGTGCATGCACGACATTTGACAGGTCTGAGGACCCCAGGCACATCAGTCGTGCTAGAGTAGCATAGGTGTGTGCACTGTGATGCACTGATCAAAATGATGTATCACATGTGGATATGGTCACGTGACCCACTGAACCTGGATAAGAAGACCACCTGGCCACGGCGACCACTTTTTCTCGTCCCTTAAGGGGTCGCCTTAGACAGGTTTCACTGTATTTGAATGGCACAACCTTCAGGGCTACTTACTGTTACACAACCTTCAGGGCTACTTACTGTTACACAACCTTCAGGGCTACTTACTGTTACACAACCTTCAGGGCTACTTACTGTTACACAACCTTCAGGGCTACTTACTGTTACACAACCTTCAGGGCTACTTACTGTTACACAACCTTCAGGGCTACTTACTGTTACACAACCTTCAGGGCTACTTACTGTTACACAACCTTCAGGGCTACTTACTGTTACACAACCTTCAGGGCTACTTACTGTTACACAACCTTCAGGGCTACTTACTGTTACACAACCTTCAGGGCTACTGACTGTTACACAACCTTCAGGGCTACTTACTGTTACACAACCTTCAGGGCTACTTATTTGATCTTCATGAAAACTGGTGTTGTAAACTTGATTCCACTTCATTCAAGGAGAAATAGTTGAAAGAGGTTCTGAAAAACAAGAAATTACTTCAGTAGACCCAAAAGTCAACCCGTCACGGACCGTGCCTTATGACTCGCGCCGTTCGACGTTGAACATCGCAACAACTGCCGCATGTCGTGTTGTACGAATCGTACAAGATTTAACAGCTCACCCCAGCCGTCCCGACAAGCCCTTACGTCCCGTACCGTCAGCGTTGTGTCGAATGTGAATCAGGCTTTAGAGACTCATTGCTGCTGCTGCTGTTGCTGCAGCTTTCTTAATGCTCAGTAAAATGGCGGGGGGAAGTACACGCACTACATGTACACTGGAAAATGTTTTGAATGTGTTTGCATTTACCTGTGTTTGTGTGTGCGTGTGTGTTTGTGTGTTTGTGGGTGGGTGTTTGTGGGTGTATGTGCATATGTGTGTGTATGTGTGTTTGCGTGTGTTTGCGTGTGTTTGCGTGTGTTTGTGTGTGTGTGTGTTTGTGTGTGTGTGTGTGTGTGTGTGTGTGTGTGTGTGTGTGTGTGTGTGCGAGCGCGTGCACACGGGTGTGGACTTGTGCATGTGAGTTTGTAAACGTATGCACGTGCGGTTGTAAACGTGTGCATGTGCGTGTGTGAACGTGTGCATGTGAACGTGTGCATGTGCATGTGTTTTATTCGTACAGACGATATTTCCAACGGGTTGTGAATGAATGGGCCATTGAACGTATTCTGAAGCCACCATTACTTAAATCACTGGTGGACCACATTACAACTGACAAAAGCAAAGTACAGTTTGACTGCACCTTTCCTTATCTGCTCTTCACTTATCTCCAATTTCCCCATGACACATGTAAAGTAAAGTTTGCACGTCCGCGTTACCACCGGCTATACAATTGCGTTGAGAAACACAACCAGCTTAGGAAGTTTCGCATGTGCCAGGCCACCACCATGCCTGTGCTACCAGGGTGGCAGATGCATGACATGACACATGTAGTTCATTGAATTTGGACTTGAACATGCATTTGGCCAAGTGTGGATTTCCTCCTGTTTTCACAAGCCCACCCTTCTTTTGGAGACTACCCAGGGCTTAGGGCCAGGGACAACACTAGAATGCAGATTATCCGAACGTCGAAGATCCGAATGATCGATTATCCGAAAAGTAATAGTATGATTGCACTGATTTCAACCAATGACACGGCGTGCCATGCATAAAATGCATGTATGGTGTCAATCGACTACTTTTTATGTACTTTTCATGTACAGAAATCCATTATTGTAGTTGTACGATGCTTCTATGTTGTCAATTCAGAGTGAGGGACAAACAAAGAAACTTTTGCTGGAACTTCAGTCATGCTTCTCAACTTTTTAACCATTGGAAAGCATTTCTTGTACCCATCAAGTTAGGCTGGCCAAAAATTCAAAATCTGGGTTGCAGCTTAGACCCCAGTGCGGCTCAACACCCCAGAAAGTACGGTACTCCTTATAATATGAGGATTTTTTGAATCCCACGCAGACAGGCCCTCATTTTTTGTCGGATTGGCCATGTGCAATTAGCAGCACATTGCTGATTTCAGAGTGATGGCGTACTGCTTGGTGCCACTCCAGAGAGCCAAACATAACATCTGCTTGTGACTTTATTTGTCTTAGGCTTCATGGATGTTTCTTGCCGAAATCTCACCGCATACTCCACTGCCAAATGTGCGCATAGCCCTGGATGCATGGAAGAAAGCAGACATAGCTGCAGGTAAGTAACACTATTGCTTCTTACTACTCATAAGTCTTAACGACTGAAAAGGTTAGTCTGATGAAAAAAATGACTGTCTCCACCCAGACTCAAACCATGGACCTTCGCTATAGGCCAGCGATGCTCTAACAACTGAGCTATGGTTTAGCTGCTATTCAACTTAGTCATTTGGACACCATCTCACGCCGGTCGGAGCTGAGAGCTGAGCAGCGTTGAAAAGCCTCTTTTACTGGCAAAAAAACCCAGACCCAATGGATTAATGCAATGCAAAGCTGGTGAAGAATCAGGAAATAATGCATGTGTGAAATAAAGATTTCAACGCAAACCAAAAGAAACTTCAGATCAAAACTTTGTAAAAAATTATTACCAACGAACTCAATCAATGAACTCAAAGAAGAAAAACAAAAAAAAACAAAAACATTCAAAGGATCAGTTGGGGAAATGAACCGCCTGAAAAGAGAAAAAAAGACCTGGGAGAGGGAAAGACACCCACGTGCCATCAGTATGTGTGGCACCTGTTGTGAGCTGCTGCCTTTGGAGTGAAACACTTGTCAGCACCTTCTAGGTTCAGCCTGGTCCCATAGCTCAGTTGGTTAGAGCATTGCTCATGACAAGCAAGATCCCGGGTTCGAGTCCTGGTGACTCTTGCATTTTTTAATATCTTTTCAGGCAGTTCACTTCCCCGACTGATCCTTTGAATTTGAAGTTCTCCCAATCCCCTCAAAACAAAACACTGTATGAATTAATAAGAACACTAAAAACAACATCCAGAGAAACAACAAAAGCAAAAAACTTGATCTTGAGCTGATCAGTGTTTCCTCATTTCTTGACAATTTCCCCATTACAGTAATGTTGAATCTTCTTGTGTACACTACCTTGCAAGTTTGATTGGCCGGAACGGATGACATTCAGTTCACAACCAATAGATATACCCCACAGGGAGACTCATTGCCCCTGGAGACTCATTGCCCCTGGTACTATTCTTAGTATACCCAGAGGCAGCCCTGAGAGACGTGCGAAAGATCTAACCGCATCGTGCCCAACGTTGACATGCACCTTCGAAATGGCACATCATGCACCGAAGATACATGGCTGTACCCTGACATAACTCATTGATCGATGTATTGCGTGATAATTATCATCCCATGAAAGAATAGGCATTGCAAACATTACATGCTACTAACATAACCTGTCTTAGTTCCTAACATAACCTGTGCCAACAATAATCATGTGAATAATTCCAAAACAGTTCGTTACATCTCACGTTTTGTGTTCATGTTTCTTCTAGCATTTATGTACATGACTTCATTGTCATGTTTTGTTTATGTACATGACTTCATTGTCATGTTTTGTTTATGTTACTATGGAGCAGCTTAGACGAAGGCTAGGCAACGCCAGTAAGAAGAAGAAGAATACTGCAATGTCCGAGTGAAGATCTTTAAATCTCTCTCTCTCTCTTTCTCTCTCTCTCTCATATCTCATTACAAAATTCTGCACTTTTTTCTCCATCTGCGCATAAAATCTAGACTGACAACCTGCTTGTTAAATCATGCACCTGCTTTTAGGCGTAAAAGCCCTGTTGTAGAGGTCTCAGTCCTCATTTGTTAGACTTATCTGTCTTTATAAATGTAACTTACTCTCTTTATCTCTCTCTCTCTCTCTCTCTCCCTTCCTCTCTCTCTCTCTCTCTCTCTCTCTCTCTCTCTCTCTCTCTCTCTCTCTCTCTCTCTCTCTCTCTCTCTCTCTCTCTCTCTCTCTCTCTCTCTTTCTCTCGTTTCCTCTTTTGCATAGCGTCTGATGCAGAGGTGGCGTGCTTCATCTTGGCTGTATTGTCCGGCAATTCTCAGCAGTTGTCATCATCGCAGCGGAGTTCTGTGGCAGGTATATATCAGTTCATTAGCTGCACAGCTTGGTTGAAATCAGACTTGTATCACCGTACTGTGTTCCTGTATTTAGTGTCAATGTTGGTCCATTGAGAAAAGGATGGGTTGGGGAAGTTTGAAAAATCCCATTTGGCCGAATTGAACGCCAAAACGCAATTTTTAATTTCGCTGTGTGAGTTTTTGATCTACAACTTCATACATTAGGGAGGTTTCGCTCTACGTAATTATGTATGAAAATAGTGTAGGAACTGCACGCAATTTCGTACGTCAAAACCCGCTTTGGGGTATCGCTCTACTTGATACTTGACGCCACGTAGCAGACTGGATCAGCACTTGAAGTAGGGCTGAAACAATTATACCAATAACTCGTATATCGAATCTATTATCGATCGTTAAGAGTGCGATCGATAATCGTTAGTTTTCAAAACGAGTACTAACGATTTTTTATGCATGCATATCAGTGACAGTATTCTAGCCCTTGCACTCCATCCGATAGTGGATACGAGTGCAATCATGTACTTTCAAGCGCAGTAAAATTGATTTGTGGCTTTGAAAGAGATTGGGAGAACTTCAGAAGTTAGAGATGAGAGAGCAGTTGCTAGTGGGTGATGACAAGATTCTTCGCTCTAGAAACAACATGAAACTCTCTATTTGAGTAGTTCATGCTGATAAAACCAGCCAGATATCTACAGATGTCAACAGGTGCGGTGCCACAAATTTTGAGCGTAGCAAAGGCATCATAGAATATCTTTATAAACTGGTGTTCGATAGGGCCGACAAGAATCGATAAAACCAATATATCGATCGTTAATGATATTGGTTGATCGCTAGGAGTTATTGAATGATCGTTTCAGCCCTAACTTGAAGACACACACACACACACACACACACACACACACACACACACACGCGTGCGTAAACAATGTCGAATGAGGTATGCGGCGTGTACCCCGGATGCAGGCTAGATGGCTGTATTTTGTGACAAATCTGCGTGCGGGTTATACTCCAGAAAATACCGTGTGTCCAGTGTAGAAGGACTGATGGTCTCTATTTGCTTGTGTTGCAACCCACACTGTATTTTGCAGCTGATTTGTTAATGCACTTGCTCAACTTCAAATCTGAGCTCTCACTTGTTGCCAGTATGATACAGACATTATCCAAGGTGAGATGTGTACATAATCATGTGTCTGTGTTTTGCCATACATGTATGCCCTATGTATGCCCTATGCAGGCGCGTAGGCAGGGGGGGGGGGGGGGGGGGTGCTTTGGGTGCCAAAGCACGCCCCTCAGAAATTTCGACCATGGGTCTGGCTTGGCATGCATTGTATGATCAAACAACCGCGACTGCCCTCAGCCCAGACTGGGTGCAAGCTACGTAGATCTGCGAGTACTGCATTGTACTACACGTGCTTGCACTTTTCCATTGCAGTCAGTGTGCAAGTATTAGTTACTCCATGAACAAAGTGGTCTCAAATTCCTAAAATGCGCTACTTGTGGCGCATGTTGCTGCGAAGGTAGCAGGTCTGAAAACACCGACAAAATCAGCGAAGCTCTTGCCAAGGAAAGAAGGTGCGGAACTGCTTACCCTACCCCGCTGGAAGGTCGTTACAGTGTACTTGAAAAATGCTAGCTTGCCTTCATCCCCTGCCACCTGGAGGCATGGATCGCTTGAAAACGAAAGTTTCTTGACATGAATTTGAACGCGCGTCTGCTGAAGGGTCTGCCTCAAACTCTGATGAAGACGTCGACCTTAGCTGCAAGTGCAGCAAAGCGGGAGGCCACAAACTAAAGCTTGGTCCGTCGACAATGCTCTGCCACAATTTCTAGCTGATTTCTTTGCCCCTCGAGTGGACAAAATAAATTCAAAAAATCTCTCTGGGAAGCAACAATTTTAATGACGCGGAGGAAGTAGATTGTTGGAATGACAAGCTGGAGACATTCATAATACATAAATAATTCAAGGTGTACACCGCACTAAAAAAAAAAAAAAAATCACGGTTCGCGTGAGACTCGGCTGGAAGCCGGGTTTTCCGCATCCGTAGGAACGCCACCACCCTTCAAGGATCAAGGCGCAGATGCAGCTCCTAAAGCGGTGGGAGGTGAGTAGATCAGCTCACCAGCAAGTGGTCAAAGACCGAAAATCCCATTCACTGCATCCATGTTTTCCTCGTGCCAGGCCACGAGTTCCCAATTAACTATGCAGGCAGGCATAGTGGGATGGTCTAAGACCATGATTGAGAAACAGAGGGTACCAGGTTCAAGTCCTGCTTGGAAGCGGTAGGATTTTTCCAGCCGTGCTGCGACCCACAGTACACCGCACTAGCATACATACAATATGCATACATGTACAAGATTCCTCAAAAGAACGCTTTTGGAAGAAAATTATGGGCACCCCCCTTGACCATGATCCTGGCTACGCCCCTGCTATGTATGCCATACATGTATGCCATACATGTATGCCCTATGTATGCCATACATGTATGCCCTATGTGCAATACCGGTAGTGGTGTATGATAGGTAATACCTTGTCTATTGCTCTTTTCTCCTTTCTTGCTGTCTCTTTGCTCTTTTCTCCTTTCTTGCTGTCTCTTTGCTGTTCTCCTGGTGTTGCTACTCGTGCTGCTGCTACGTCGGAAGCTTTTTGCTTGATGGCGATAACAGCAACAGCAACAGCAAGATCATGGCAATTTTCACATGGCTTTAATCCGGTATACAGTCATGTGCATGTATTGGTATGGCTATACTGGTATATACTCCCTATCAACATGGCTATACTGGTATATACTCCCTATCACCATGGCTTCTAAGTATATTCTGTGATTACACAGTGTATGTTGTATGCCTGCAGGCTAGATTGAAATCGTCTTTCCGCTTTGTCTTCTGTTTTGCAGCTGTCCAAGGACTCGACAGATGAAGCAGAGGTACTTGCTTGTATTCGTTTGCTGTGAATAGTTACAGTGCGTTTCAAAAATATAGACACGTGATGTCAAAAAAACCGTTAGGCCAGCATCTATACCACATAAAAGCTGTGATCACTTTGTGCATAAAAATTTCGAAATTGGGTGTTTTTCTATTTGATCACTTAAAAAAATCTACATGAGAGTAATTGGGGGAAGGACCTGAGCAATATCCCGAAAAATATTCTCGAAAAGCTCCAGGCAAATTTGAAATATTTCAAAAATGCCATGCGTCTATATTTTTGAAATGGACTGTAGGATAGATCAATGAAGACCATTGGGTTTTGATGGCTTGAGCCTCTGCAGTCTTCTAACGTCTGTGACTATGGTTCATGATCTTTGTACTCGTGTCATGTGTGCAATCAACGCCTGGAGTGCCACTAAAATTCTATTTCTGGATAGAGCCCTGAAGACTTTATTAAAATGCTTTGAAGCTGTTTTCACTCGTTTGCCGCTGCAGTTGCTAGATGATGCAGACCAGGAAGGCAAATATAGCTCCTACTAATTCAGTGTTGTTTGCTGCTGCTGCTGCTGCTGCTGCTGTCAGGCTGTTCGCCAACCTTGGGCAGTTAAGATTCTCCAGGCATGTCAGAAGTGGTTGACAGAGCACTTATTGAGTGACAGCACTAGTCGTAAGTAAACCTTGTGAGAATCTTTCCCGCGAAAGTCACTGAATTTGGTATATGCTTCGCATGGGTGTCAGTTCCTAGGAAACTTGCTATGCATGATTTGGCAACTAGCATGACTCAGCACTTGGTGACTAACACACACACACACATGCACGCACACACACACACACGCACACACACACACACATGCACATGCACGCACACACACACACACACACACACACGCACGCACACACACACATGCACATGCACGCACACACACACACACACCTGTCCTGTCCTGTCCTGTCCTGTAGAGCCACTGCCACAGACACACACTCACTCACTCACTCACACGCTTACACTCATACTCACACTCACACACACCTTGACCTTGATCTTGCCCATTGCGTCCGCAGTGATAGCGAATGAAGCACTACAAGTAAAACGTGTGTACCGTATTTTCCGGAGTATGAACTGCACTGGAGTACGCCGCACCCCATTTTTTGCCACGAAATACAGACATCTACCCTATGTATCACCGTTAATTTGATCATGGGAGTATAAGTCGCACCCCCCCCCCCCCCCCCCCTTTTTGCTGGGTGAATTTGAGTGTTCAAAGTGCGGCTTGTAGTCTGGAAAATACGGTAATAGATACCGGCTGTGGCTGACAGATCAACTTAGCTTGGCGTTATTGACAGATGTACCGATCATGTGCCTGCCTGCCTGCCTGCCTCAGTGATGTGCCTGCCTGCCTGCCTGCCTCAGTGAGTGGACCAAAGAAGATGCACACTTTTTGCACTTTACTTTTTTTAATTTCTTTATCAACCCTTTTATGGTCTCACAAAAGAAAATTGATCACTGTGATTGGGTTTTGGTTGTAATTCTGTCAGTTTTTGACCGAACTCGAATATCTAACCATCTACCAGTAAGTCTACTGTAAATCATGAAAATGTCACGAACAAGTAAATCTAACGAGTGAAGATTTGTCGTTATTTTGAAATTCGTTAGTAAAAGTCGTATCCATTTGGGCCTCGCACGATTGAAATCGACCGTTTCATATTGTGGCATGCAGTGCTTGTTCAACGGATCGTAACTCGGTCAATTCCCAACCGAATTCAGCAATCGAAAGACCTAGATGATAGCAGAGACGCTCAGCAGTCGGCTCGAACAACTCCGAAGTCTCTCAGATGAAATTTGACGAAGCGGCAAGAGATCTCGAAACGTTTTGATTTTTTACGCTCTTGTACTCGTATTGGATAAATTTCAATTTCTGTATTCTCCTGAGATCGATGTCTTGCTTCTCAAGATCGTGTCGCAACGGCGCTCCTGGTATACTGTGGTGGCCGTGGACAACAATGGATGCCCTTGACGAGTTTGGGCCCGTTGTAATCCCCTCTCCAAGAACTTTCCAAGGAGCCCAAGATGGTCAAAATTGGTGAAGTGGAACCAATGTTATGATGGGAAATCGAACGATGCGCACTCAAAATGCAGGAATTTTTTTCTTGTTGTGGTCATTTCAGTGGGGGCCCAAAGTATATTTCAGTGGGGGCCCAAAGTATCATTCCTACTCACTGACTACCTGTAGTCAGTCTGAGAAAATCGTTAACTTTTCAAACCGTTAACCTTCGAAAATAAGAAAATCGTTAACTTTGCGGGTCATTCAAATAATATGATTTACAGTAATAGAAAACTCAAGGCTATCCATATGAACAATTGCCGAAGCGGTAGAGCGACTGTTTCTAACGCTACAGCGATCTGCACCACGGCTCATTTGCAATTTGAGTGGGCGAGCTGGGTCTGGGCGACGGGGCTTTCGCTTTGCAGCTGGCTGTTGCCATAGAGACACTGATTCAAATGAGAGTATGGACGCACGTGACTCCTCACAAAAACTCTTTCTCTCTGTCGTGTGTGTGTGTGGGTGTGTGTGGGTGTGGGGTGGATACCAGGCTAAAATTAGTGGCGGTCAATTCATCAGCCTTGCAAGCTGTTGAGTGGTGTAATCCCAGCACAAGTTGCTATGTCTAACATAGCTGTTCGCTATCATCGCTTCCTCAATGGGCATGTCTGAGTGCGTGTTTGTGTTGTGTGTGTGTGTGTGTGTGTGTGTGTGTGTGTGTGTGTGTGTGTGTGTGTGTGTGTGTGTGTGTGTGTGTGTGCGGGTGTGCGGGTGTGCGGGCGTGCGGGCGTGCGTGCGGGTGTGTGTGAATTATACCCTGGCAATGATTTTGAAGACAGTGCTGGCGCAATGTGTTATCTTGTTTCCCGTCTGCTCTTTGGTCATGTGCAGAGATGGAAGAGACTGATCTAATCTGCCGACTATTTACTCTTGGAGAGGCTGCTCAACTATGTCCTGCCTGTGTGTCAGAACAGCTATTTCTATTGGTGCAATCTCTTCTGGCATCACCCAAAGAAACGCAACTAAGCTCCAGTGAGATTGTTTTCATGTAATACTGACCACCCGGATAGAACTTGTAGCGTAATAGCTTATTGCAAGAATACCAATTAATCACAAGGTCCTATCTGTCTGTGCTATAATGCAGAGATCGTATACATTTTCCTGTATAGAACTGTAATCTGCGGATGTACAACAGAAATAACTGATCTACACTATGCGCTCCACGTATAACACACCCAGATCGCCGGTGCAAGTTTTCGATTAGAAAAAACGTCGACTGCAAAGAGGATAGTGTCGTGTCCGGTTTCAAGTGACCATCTAACTTGCTTGTCTCCTTACCCATCATGGCCATGCAATTCACAGAATGTGGCCACTGCCAACTCATCCTTTTATTTCCGTGTCTGCTTCAAGACCTTTTCTTCGTTGATATGCTCATGTCTACGCCAAATGCACGGGGAGCGCCGTTGCCACTTCTTTGTAGCTATGGGCAGTAAGGGCTTCTTTGTAGCTATGGGCAGTAAGGGCTTCTTTGTAGCTATGGGCAGTAAGGGCCTAGGTACATGTACTTCAAAGATTGAGAAGATCTGATGGCAGTGAGCAGAGTTGTTGGCAGTGAGCGTCACTTACGAATGGATAAGCACACTGATCTCGCTGTTGTTAGACCGTATCCGAGCAAAATGTGTTAAAGTTAGTGATTGACACTCAGAACGGTCTTTGGGTTGCAATAGTTATTTGTTTTTTTCCCTTTTCCAACTCCCTCAAACTGATGAGTATACAAGTATTCGAATTTTCGGCCCGTATTTGTTCTCTAGAATGGGCCTGGTGCGAATTTTATTCAAGGAAATACAGTGCAATTGTCTGACTTTTTAATCCTGCATAGGCATCCGTTCGGCAGACTTCTGCTGGATTAATGAATACTCACGCCTACTCATTCATTTTTGAATACCCTAGCTGATTAGTTCTAGTGTGCATAAGTTTGCCTGTGTATATATGAATGTGCGTATATACTTGAAAGTGCGTATATATTTGAATGTGTGTGTACATGCGTGCGTGCGTGTGCCTGTGTGTGTGTCTGTATATGTCTGTGTTTTGGTATGTTCGTGCACATATGAAGGTCACTCGACATTGTCATCATCTCCTTTGGTTCGTGCCCATGCCTTTGTCACCCTGGGTATGTAGCAGATAACACTGGCTAGAATTGTTTTAAGTAAAAGTGGGGAGGCTTCCTGCAGTTTCATAAACAGTTCAGAGTAGAGCCTACATGCTCTCTTCCATTAACACTGCAATAGTTCAACTCATTTCTCAATAATCATTCCAACGTTTCGGCAAATTGCCTTCATCAGGTTCACAATGATGTGCAAGCTCCCAAACCAGCATTGATAAAGGCCAACAACTCCCGTGTCAGTAAGAGGGTGTGAGAAGCAGCGCGAAAAAGAGTTCAGCTAATAGCGCTAACATCGACTATCAGTGGAGGGGACTACAGCTGAGGTAAAAAAATAAAAAATAAAAAAAAATCAGCGCCGAATGTCATGATAATCAGAATTTTCTTCACTAGTTTGAGGGAAAGAGACAAACGGGAAAAGTCTGAAGAAAAAATTGACTGTCACCACCAGGACTCGAACCAGGGACCCTCGCTTGTAGCTAGCGATGCTCTAACCACTGAGCTACGGTGTAGTCGTCATCCCAGCAGAGACTGTTCAACATTTTCTTCAGACTTCGTAACTCACACTTCCTGTGAATCCACACAGGCGGGTGGGACGCAGCCCTCACTGTACCCACACACTTCACGTACACTCTAGCACGCGGGGAGCCCCAAGTCATAAAATCTTCACTAGTTTGAGGGAAAGAGACAAACGGGAAAAGTCTGAAGAAAAAATTGACTGTCGCCACCAGGACTCGAACCAGGGACCCTCGCTTGTAGCTAGCGATGCTCTAACCACTGAGCTACGGTGTAGTCGTCATCCCAGCAGAGACTGTTCAACATTTTCTTCAGAAATCAGAATTGTTGTTTTTTTAATTACATTAGGCCATCATTTTTATAGCTATGTTTCGCGTCGTCCGCACGCATACGTTTTGACTTTTTTCGGAAGAAAAAAATCAAACATGCACAGTGAGTGTACGATCGTGCGAGTCATCAGTGTGGACTGGTTGCGATACGGCGAAGCTGGGATTCAGAAATGGCCTCTAGTCTAGGCCAGCGTTGGTAAATCGTTTGTTCGGCATCTGGGAGCAATATTCTATGAGCTTACACCAGACCGCATTGATCGCCTCAAGCTGAGAGGATGCGTCGTTCCGGAGCTCTTTGCACCGCTGCTGAAGTCTCAGTACAATAATCCAGCGAAGCATGGGCACCAACGGTTGCCTCCTCTGTCCGAAGTGAATATTTACTCATGCTGATAACCCAGATGTTGTGCTTCGATGTACGATTTTTCTCTCGAATGTACACCATGCACGAGCTATTGTGCTATGTACAGTGCATGCACCTCTGATGAGATTTTTTTCCACCTCTCGCATATGATTCTGGAAGTTGAACTGACGCGAAACATAGATATAAAAAAATGATGGCCTTATGTACTGGGAACATGACTGTCCCACTGTTATACTCTGTTTATTGTCTGAAATTGTCAGCATGTCATGCATGGTACAGTATTTTTGCAATAATATTGATTGCGATCAAAAGGACAAGCTGTATCGACATGTGTGTGTGTGTGTGTATACCGCTGCTTTATTTATAATTATAGCATGAACAGGTGGAAACGATGTGCAACAATTTAGAGAAGATCAAGGAGGAAATAGTGAAGAAAAGAACAACGGAGAAAGATTCAAGCAAGTTTTCGTACAACACTCAGCAGGAATCTGTGTTGTTCTAATGAACAAAGCATGGAAAAAGGACTCCTATAGGAGCCAGGAGCCAGAATTTGAGAAATGAAACCTTGTCACAGTACTGACACCTAGAGTGTGAAGGGGAAAAATGAAAAGGCAAAAAATTAGATATGTGGGTACTAACAATCTGTGCTAAAACAACGTGAACATCTGACTAGCTACAAACTACTCGATCTGCGGACAGAACTGTTTCGTCCTACAAACGATGTGAAGAACAGCACTGGCCAAACCTGGCCACACCAAGACCACAAAGCATTATTTGAACAATTTCAAAGTGATAACACCGTCTTTCTGGACATGCGAATTAGGCTTAAAAATCGCTGACATATAGCTTCTAACGTTTGCAACTGTAAACCATAACCATGACGACCACGACACGAAAAAAAAACAGTGAAAGAAGAATCAAAATATCTACTGCAACAGTTCTCGGGCTAGTTACCAGATAGACAGCACCGCAGACTTTCTCTTATGAAACGTACGCACACTGCTGCTGTCCTGACTCTCACCACCACTCTCACCCTCACCGTCTGACTGCATCATCGCCTGACTCACTGCCCGCATCATCGCCTGGCCAATCACCACCCAGTTTTGCCACCGACTCGCCACATCTACTGTCCTTGCCCATACCACCCGCTGCAGTTGCCTCCATCCTCATCTGCTTCGCTCCTTGAATCCGTCCATGTCCGGTCAATGTATATGGCTGATTGTTCTGTTGTAGTTACCTGTTCATACTATATAAATATAGTATTTGTACACACATGCCGTTGCATCTTGTCCTCCTGGTTGAGATTTTAAAATTGTTTTCTCCTCGCTCACTGTTTATTAATGATCATTGTTTTCTCCTCGCTCACTGTTTATTAATGATCATTGTTTTCTCCTCGCTCACTGTTTATTAATGATCATTGTTTTCTCCTCGCTCACTGTTTATTAATGATCATTGTTTTCTCCTCGCTCACTGTTTATTAATGATCATTGTTTTCTCCTCGCTCACTGTTTATTAATGATCATTGGTTTATACGAGCAGCTTCTTATATACTAGTATAGTATGAGTTGACAGTCTGGTACACAGCTGTTCGAACAACCCGGGTTTGAGCCATATCAGTACCTCCAGTCTTTGCTCCTGAAAGCCTCATCAGGGCAGGCATGTTCGTCCGAATTTGCCTTTGTGCTGGGTAAGTATGGCTCTGATATAGATGGAGATCGACTCCAGTACCAGTTTCACCTGTTGCATTTTTTTCCCTGAAACCAATGAATATGAGAACAAGATTCAACAATAAACTTCAATCTCTGACTTTGTTTGTGGACAGGCAAACTGTGCTTGCAGCAAGAAACTCTGGCTAAGAAATGTGTCATCGTCCTGGTGCGTGAGCTGGAAACCAGTGATGATGCCATTGTTCGCAACAACGTTGTCATTATCTTGTGTGACTTGTGCGTAAGGTATGTATTCTGTAGCAATGCACAGTGCTATTTAGTACCATCCAGCCGCTGCTGTCTGTGCCTGCATTCAACAACCAGCCTACTTCAGAAACCGGCTTTTCATTCATAGATAGTTCTCCACAGTGAATTGAAAAATATTAATTTGCTGCTCTCAATACCTGTAGCTGTATATGTGATGTGCCAGGAAACACATGTTATGCGCAGACACGTCTTTTGAACCGCAAGAATGTGCCGCGCTGCCGCAGTCTAGAGACAAGTCTACAGCAGGCACCACTAACTGGTTAAATGGTTTGTCCTAAATTCCTAATGTGTTCTGATAATGTGTTCTGATGACCAGGTATACACAGCTTGTGGATAATTACCTATCGAGTATTTCAGCTTGTCTTCGCGATGACTCACCACTTGTCAGCCACCAAACACTGATGTCGCTCACTCTTCTTCTCAAGGTACATAGAACATGACACAATGTGTACCAGCTCATATGTAGCATTCTGTGACCAGTCAGTCCTTCTGGCCTGCTTCTTGCTTGTGATTTAGTTGGTGAATCAGTTGTTGTACATCAAATGACCGGACGACATATTGATGATGCGGGCAGGTGGCCTGCTAATTCATGTGGTCACTGTGCTCTATTGATGGGAACAAATTGCCAGCGTTTGACAACATTTGAGAATGAAGCCAAGCAACAAACACTCAGTCTGTCCCTACAGTGGTGGCAAAATGGGGAATCCAGTTCCTGAAATCCAGCCCCTGGTTTCTCGCGGTTTGGTGCACAAAGCAGCATGTGCTTGCAGTAAACCACTGGAAACGAGGGGCTGGTTTTGCATTTATGTGAACGTGCTCTTCGCTCATATGCTGTAACTGCGATGTTTGCTGGCATGGCTTGTGTGCTACAGGAGGACTATATCAAGTGGAAGGGATCACTGTTCTTCCGATATCTGATGTGCATAGTTGCTGAGAATCCTAAATCCTGCGAGTTTGGTAAGGTAGACACCAGATCTCTCTCTCTCTCTCTCTCTCTCTCTCTCTCTCTCTCTCTCTCTCTCTCTCTCTCTCTCTCTCTCTCTCTCTCTCTCTCTCTCTCTCTCTCTCTCTCTCTCTCTCTCTCTCTCTCTCTCTCTCTCTCTCTCTCTCTCTCTCTCTCTCTCTCTCTCTCTCTCTCTCTCTCTCTCTCTCTCTCTCTCGCTCGCTCTTTTTCTCTCTTTCTCTCTCTATCTATCTCTCTCTCTTCTCTTCTCTTCTCTTTTCTCTCCTTTCTTCTCCTCTTCTTTCTCACTACACCTTCTTATATTTATTCAGGTAGTTACCCCGGGCTGTCTGTGATACAGGTAGACTTCCTTTAATTCGAACCACAAATGTTCAGGCCCCAGCTTCTAATTACAAATCGACCGGCTGTACCGTATGATCGATATGCTGTGGTGTTGCTGTGGTTGTCGTAGCATACCTTTGGTTATCATGTAGCAGGGATCGATTTACTTTGATTTTTTTGGCATAGCAGTCACTGCTACACAGTTTTACAATTGACTAGCAACTCCCAGTATTGATTATCAGTTTTCCTTCATCGAAAGTTTACATGTATATCTGTACAATAGCAGGATTTTGTACAGAAGAGGACAATAGCTGCAGTTGCTATTTGCTTTTCTAAACGAACGGTTGACGTGAATATTCTACGTTAGGGTTTTCGCTTGGGCTTGTTACATGTTCAGCGTCCATCCGACTTCGAGTTCTTCACAACACAATGTCCTTCAACAGGGCAGTTCCACTGATTCCTTCCACAAAGAAAGCTCAGGAAAGCGCTCAAACGATCGTGACACTTCGTTCAAAGCGCACAGAATATTCCCTTTTCTCCTTTTCTTCATCGAAACGAATCGACACTCCTGGCGCGTCCAGTTCTTTTCCCGCTTCTGGACAGTGATCAGATTCACTGACATGTTGGCTACACGAGACTAAGAACCATCTACTTCAACTGTGCCTTGTCGAACAGAAACAAACTGAATTGAGCTTGCCAGTGAAAGAAAAAAGGAGAACTTCAAGGAAAGTCGCCGCCGTGTACAAAACTTCAAAAGACTGCAGACTGCAGTCTTGTACGACCGGTCAACCAGTGATAGCAGTGGCTAATGCAGTGTCCAAAATCAAACAGAGCGCGATCCGCGACCTGCGCGCGGCCTGAGCAGGACAGGCCAGTTGGTTGGAGTAGTAAAATACTACTCCCTAGTCAGCAGTGTGTACAACAGTCGCATGCAAACTGCACACAAACAGTACAGAATGGTCTTTGTACGTACTTCCTCCGCCCAAGCAAAATTTTCGCTTATCTTTACAGTTTTTACTGATACATTCCAGGTTTTCAGAACGGCTTATAACGACTCAGAATGAGTTGAGGAGTCATTGAACATCAAGAGAAACTCTCCAAGTCGAAAAATGTAGAGGGCATCCTTTGTCATCAGCCGACGCAGCACTTGTTGTCGGGTAGTACTTCGCACTTTCCAGAAGCGCAAATATTTTCTATCGACACTTTTTTCCCAAGCGCTTCACCTCCTTCACGAGTACGATCGGTTGTGTTTCTTTCCAGCCGAAGCTGGCGAGCTCAGTCAGCGTCGCTTTGCTGGACCGTTCACGTTGACATCAGGCGAATGAGCTGGGCGAGTCACAACCCTGTCATCGAAGCCTTTCTTTTCCAACTGTTTTGCCCAGTGCCGATTCTGGTTCATTTTGCAGTATGTGGGCGAGCGTCGCTGAGTGGCTTTCTCAGCTTCAAGCTCGCGTGCATTTTTACCGTACACACACCTTGAGCAGGATGCAATCAAACACACTAGCTTTTCGCAACATGACACCTCTGCTCTGTACTCCAGTGCCAGCAGTGGTACTCTAGCAGCACCCACCTTGACTAGTGACTGACTTCGTGTCTTTTTTACCAGTTCACTCGCATTCAACGCGCTCTACTCTAGATGTTTCTTTACTCTTTGCCGACTTCGCCGACTTGTTTGGAACTGGTACGCCTGAACGTGCAGATTTGTGTGATGGTGAAGTGCACAAGATGCAAAAATTGCTGTCAGACACCTGTCATTGGGCTGAAGGAGATAAGCGAAAATTTTGCCTGGGCGGAGGAAGTACTATAACCTCTTTTCCTGCATGTAACTTAATTCTCTCATGTGTTATTTTGGGAGACAATAACAAGCCATAGCCTCCCATACTAGTGCATTTCCTCGTTCCTGATGATGGTCGTAGACTGAAATGTCGAATGTATAAAAGAATTTCATTAAAGAGTAGAAAGCAGTGCAATTGAGGTGTACGTGTGGCTGTTAGCCCACAACATAATGAGTTCCTATGGCAAAAATGCTTCGATTTTGGGGGGTTTGAACTTTTTTCGTATGCACAAGTGCTCATTTGTCACTGCCAACCTGTGTAATCCACGCATTTTCATCAATTGATTCTTTTTGTAACCTGAACATATGCAGTACGTGCCAAATATACTTCTTCAAAAAACGACATGATATTATAGTAGATGAGTTATCCTGAGATACGGGCAAATCTGAAATACGGGCAGTGCCCGGATAAGAGACGTCCGAGTGTATCTTAAAACGTTCTAATGAAGAAGTTGTCAGTCGTCAGTCGCTGCAGCTGTCCCGAAACAATTTCAACGGAAAAGAACAGCGCTAGCTTATCCGTGTCATGAAAGCGTGTCGGAGAGCAGCACTTCGGTGGAGCATTGACAAACATTTTTTTACGACTTCCAGTCAACAGTGTAGGTGTTCACAAACATTCTCCGCACATGAGCTGGTGAGCTGGTGAGCTGGTGCGGCATAAAAGACCCATTAAGATCCACGAAGGGAGTCAGCCACCTCGAAGAAGTTGTCTTCAATCAAATCTTTGCACTTTGCCTTGCACTTTGCCTTGAATGAAATTTGGACACAAGTCAAGGTATGTACTGCTAGTAGTTGGGTTCCTTGAATGCTGCTATTGTTGATCATGCATGCCTGAAGTGTACCAGGGATCACGCTATTGTTGATCATGCATGCCTGAAGTGTACCAGGGATCAGGGATCACCTTTTCAACTACTCTTAGCTAGAGAAGGAGAAAAGAATGGACTTCGAATTGCAAGTATAGCAACTTCATCTCACTTTGAAACAAGCGCTCAGAGGACATAGTCACTGTACTGTGAACTGCTCTTCTGTACGACAACAGACTTCGGACTATCCAGCGGGCGCACTTTTCGTACTTCGAATTTCGCATTCAAATTTGACTTGAATTGACTTGCAGAAAATCGGTACAACGAAATTTTTTCGAATTACTGTAAAACATGTAACTTGAGGTGTATTAAAATTTCGGTGCCAGAGACCTGACAGGTTTCAGGTGCAATGTACTTCGTTGAAGTAGAATTAGGTGACCAGCTTTCCCATCACATACTTGAAGTACAATGCATACTCCAGAGGCTTTTAGGTGTAATTTAACTTTAGGTGCCTGGTATTTCTACCGAAATCAACGAAATTAAAGTTACACCGGAAATAGCATGTTTTACAGTTTACGGAATATTCGAATTCGAGGCATTCTACCTGTATAGGATCTGTATCTTCATGGTATTTGCTTCAGTCCAATATGGTTCTGATATTGCTCTGAGTAATGTTGTTCTGATCAATACTAGTACAAGTAGCTGCTTCAGCTATGTTTGCTGTTGCTATGTGGCGTATGTGGTGTATGTGGTGTATGTGGTGTATGTGGAGTATGTGGTGGTGTGGTGTGTTTTGCTAAATTAGCTGAGTACTGTCTAGTGCATCTGCTGCTGGCACGTCATCAGATTCTCTTTTCCACACAGTTCATGGAGTGCCTCTTTCACTACAACACGTATGAGCAACATCCCGGTAAGATTAATTTCCAAGTGCAGCTGTGCTTGTGCTTACTTTTTATTCACTGGTTTGAGGGAAAGACGTTACGGGAAAAGTCTGAAGAATAAATTGACTGTCACCACCGGGACTCGAACCAGGTTTACTTTTTAGCCCGGAGGCGTGTGACTGGTTTGACTGGGCTCCTGTATGGTATTTCCTACAAGAGACTTCTTGGTAATAAATCACAACTTTGTGACTCGAGAAAATATATACACAATATTCAGGCCATCTGTTGTAAATCCTTTTTTTTCAACGAAGAAAATGCTGGAAACTGACTGTCTTTCTTGCTGAAATTTATTCACTCAGTCCACTCCACCCTCTCCAGATCCACTTTCTTACCATCAATGACGTGGATGAAGAGGCGGAAAATTCCGAGGGGAAGGACAGTCAACTTCGCTAATAACGACTGCGGATAAAACGACAATTCGCGAATAACGACAGAATGTCCATGCCCAGAGCAAAGTCCCATCCAACTGTAATACATGTAATGAGACTTCGGGTATAACGACACTTCGCGAATAAGGACACTTTTTTGATGCCCTGCCGAGTGTCGTTGTAAGCGAAGTTGACTGTTGAGGAAAAAGTGGAAACACTGGGGCAGAAGTTCTGCATCATGGGCCCACCAACTGTGTGTGTTATGCATCATGGGCCCACCAACTGTGTGACTGTATATGTAGGACGGTAAGACATCCACAAATTAGTTTAAAACTGACCAGGAGTACTGAGATATTCTATGGTATGAAGCTGAGCTTGAGCACTGCTCGATAGCGCTGACCAACGGCCTTCCAACTTGGAAGGTTCATGGCTATAAGTGGTAGTGCCAATGGGAAAGGTAAGCGCCATCGAGACAAACACGGGCTACATTCCAAGGCTCCAAAGAATGCTGGCTTATGGCGATGACGGGTGACTGTCAGTTTTGTGCTAAATTGTGCATGTCCGACTGTTCCAGATTCATGTTTAGTTGGTGGATTCGAACGCATACCTCGTGCCCCAGTGTTTCCTCTCTTTTTTGTCCTCTAAATTTATCCTTGACTCGCCATCCGAGTTCAAAATCTCAATCCTATGGTGCCTTGTAAGGTGTGAACAATCCTATGGTGCCTTGTAAGGTGTGAACAATCCTATGGTGCCTTGTAAGGTGTGAACAATCCTATGGTGCCTTGTAAGGTGTGAAGGTGCACTACAGTACTGTGGGGCGCTGAAGAACGATCAGCCTAGAATTTCACCAAGCAATACACAGTGACTCAACTGTGCATAGGCTGTAGTACATGAAAATAAGAACGGTCTAGGGTACGAGGCTGGTTATGCAGCATACACGTACCCTGTACAATCCCTACCATGCAACTCGTACAATCATGTCACGCACATGCCAGGTACACCAGTGAAACAATTGACATAAAGTAAAGGAGAGTGTGATCCAGGATGACGAATTGAACTGTTCATGCACGAATACAATGAAAGAACATTGGGTTGGAAGAAAACGTTCGTGAATGAAAACATTGAGTTGGAGGAAAGTGTTGGTGAATGAAAGGAATGGGGTGCTAGGCAGGATAGTCGACTCAACATAGAAGAACCAAATGGAATGCTGGTGTAGTAAAGATGTGTGTTGAGATCTTCTCCCCCTCTAGTTGTGTGTGCTCACTGTGATGGCTTATTGGACGTTCTTGGAGCTCTTTGTAATGCTTCGACGAGAGATTCTACCTCCGTCTCCACAAATACAGTAGTCCCTAGGAGTAGAGGGTTAGGCAGAGCCTCAAGCTTCCGGCTGTTTAAATCAATTCCTGAAGCATTCGTGCTGATGCACTGGGCTTCCATTGCTAGGGGCACAATTCCTGAAACCCTGGACATTGCAGTTACAGTGCACTGGACTTGCAGCACTGTATACCAATGTAACAGCAACAAGCTGCTCGAAGAGGAGGTGAGGTCAACTTGAGCCAGTGTGCTCATTTTATCTACCCACATGACCACGTGCCGTTTCATGCCAGGCTGCTGCTGCTGCTATGGCCAACGTTCTTGATATGTCGACCAAACTGTACTGTTCTTTGAATCATTCCGATGTAAGCTTGTGTGGAATTAAAACTGTTTTTCTTGTTATTCGTAGCATGCAAGAAATTATGTTCTTTTATTGTTTCTGTCGTCCACAGCATACAATAAGTTCGTGCAAACTGACAAAGAGAAGAGAGTGTTTTCACTGAAAGGAGACAAGCACCTCATGTAAGGCCAGGTTTTATGTCGCATACACACTTATAAACATGTACTGCGGAACAGCGAGACTGCTGCTGCTGCTGCTGTGCACGTAGCTATCTGTTACTTCTGCTGGTCTTGCAGGTCGTCATCACCCAACTGTGACTGGACTGCATTGCAAAATTGTAATCCCATCAATGCCCGAGCATGGCATATGGAAACACTGTAAACGCCGCAAATTTCCGTTGAGCTGTCCCCTGTCATTGCTGTTCACAGCACATCAGCGCATGCTGGTGTAGGCGTTCCTGTAGATATGCGCGCAGCTATTCCTGCAGCTAGTCCTGCAGCTATTCCTGCAGCTATTCCTGCAGCTATTCCTGCAGCTATTCCTGCAGCTATTCCTGCAGCTATTCCTGCAGCTATTCCTGCCGCTATTCCTGCAGCTATTCCTGCAGCTAGTCCTGCAGCTACTGTAAAACGACAAACTTTCGCGAGCGATTAACTTTCGCGACTTTCGCGAGCAAGGTCGAATCGCGAAAGTTTGACTCGCGAATGTGAAATTTTGTACTATTACGTACTATGCGATGCGTCGATGATCGATCGTTTTGCGCCACAGATCTGTACAGTACATGCGCATGCATCACTCACTGCACTGACTGTACATTCACAGCGCTGATCGATGCTTGCACGGCCGGCTATGTCCAACCAAAGCGCGCAGCTGTTGCAACGACGGGTTACGTACCAACACCAGTCTTGCAAGTAACCGTTGAAACATTAGTTGTCGTTGGAGTACGGTGACTTGAACCAGAAGAGAATAAAACGATCGACTGGAGAATGTCTCAGTGTTGTGGAGAGTGTTGTTGAACTTCTTGGAGCGTTTGGCCAGCTTGCTGTTGCGTAGATTTTAGTGTTGTAGTGCTCGAAGAAGTCTTCAGAATTTTATCGCGATGAGTATCGCAGTGGCTCAGCAGTTCGAAGAGAAAGCCTTCCGATGATCCCTCTTCGAACGTGCCATCCTTTCTCCCAGTACTAGTACATACCTTATGGTTCTCTTTGATGCCTTGATTCCTCCTAACATTCCTTGATCCTTCTTTCATTCTTTGATTTCTTCTCTCATTCTTCATGCGCTCTGCACCCAGCACTCCGAGGCTTCGTAAAATAAAATTCTTTGATTTTCGGTGGAAGGTAAAAATCGCTAAAATTAATCGCCGCTAACTGGTCCAGTTTGCCAAAACGCTAAATTTAGCCGCCGGGCAAGTTTGTCGTTTTACAGTAGTCCTGCAGCTAGTCCTGCAGCTAGTCCTGCAGCTATTCCTGCAGCTAGTCCTGCAGCCAGTCCTGCAGCTAGTCCTGCAGCTAGTCCTGCAGCTATTCCTGCAGCTAGTCCTGCAGCTATTCCTGCAGCTAGTCCTGCAGCTATTCCTGCAGCCAGTCCTGCAGCTATTCCTGCAGCTAGTCGTGCAGTTAGTCCTGCAGCTAGTCCTGCAGCTAGTCCTGCAGCTAGTCCTGCAGCTAGTCCTGCAGCTAGTCCTGCAGCTAGTCCTGCAGCTAGTCCTGCAGCTAGTGCTGCTGCTAGTCCTGCAGCTAGTCCTGCAGCTAGTCCTGCAGCTAGTCCTGCAGTTAGTCCTGCAGTTAGTCCTGCAGCTATTCCTGCAGCTAGTCCTGCAGCTATTCCTGCAGCTATTCCTGCAGCTAGTCCTGCAGCTAGTCCTGCAGCTAGTCCTGCAGCTAGTCCTGCAGCTAGTCCTACAGCTAGTCCTGCAGCTATTCCTGCAGCTAGTCCTGCAGCTATTCCTGCAGCTAGTCCTGCAGCTATTCCTGCAGCTATTCCTGCAGCCAGTCCTGCAGCCAGTCCTGCAGCTATTCCTGCAGCCAGTCCTGCAGCCAGTCCTGCAGCTAATCCTGCAGCTAGTCCTGCAGCTAGTCCTGCAGCTAGTCCTGCAGCTATTCCTGCAGCCAGTCCTGCAGCTATTCCTGCAGCTAGTCCTGCAGTTAGTCCTGCAGCTAGTCCTGCAGCTAGTCCTGCAGCTAGTCCTGCAGCTAGTCCTGCAGCTAGTCCTGTAGCTAGTCCTGCAGCTAGTCCTGCAGCTAGTCCTGCAGCTAGTGCTGCTGCTAGTCCTGCAGCTAGTCCTGCAGCTAGTCCTGCAGCTATTCCTGCAGCTAGTCCTGCAGCTAGTCCTGCAGCTATTCCTGCAGCTAGTGCTGCTGCTAGTGCTGCTGCTATTTCTGCTGCTATTTCTGCAGCTAGTCCTGCAGCTAGTCCTGCTGCTAGTGCTGCTGCTAGTCCTGCAGCTAGTCCTGCAGCTAGTCCTGCAGCTAGTCCTGCAGCTAGTCCTGCAGCTAGTCCTGCAGCTAGTCCTGCAGCTAGTCCTGCAGCTAGTCCTGTAGCTAGTCCTGCAGCTAGTCCTGCAGCTAGTGCTGCTGCTAGTCCTGCAGCTAGTCCTGCAGCTAGTCCTGCAGCTATTCCTGCAGCTAGTCCTGCAGCTAGTGCGGCTGCTAGTGCTGCTGCTATTTCTGCAGCTAGTCCTGCAGCTAGTCCTGCAGCTAGTCCTGCAGCTAGTGCTGCTGCTATTCCTGCAGCTATTCCTACAGCTAGTGCTGCTGCTAGTGCTGCTGCTAGTCCTGCAGCTAGTCCTGCAGCTATTCCTGCAGCTAGTCCTGCAGCTATTCCTGCAGCTAGTCCTGCAGCTAGTGCTGCTGCTATTCCTGCAGCTAGTCCTGCTGCTAGTCCTGCTGCTAGTGCTGCTGCTATTCCTGCAGCTAGTCCTCCAGCTAGTCCTGCAGCTAGTCCTGCAGCTATTCCTGCAGCTAGTGCTGCAGCTAGTCCTGCAGCTATTCCTGCAGCCAGTCCTGCAGCTATTCCTGCAGCTAGTCCTGCAGCTAGTCCTGCAGCTAGTCCTGCAGCTAGTCCTGCAGCTAGTCCTGCAGCTAGTCCTGCAGCTAGTCCTGCAGCTAGTGCTGCTGCTAGTCCTGCAGCTAGTCCTGCAGCTAGTCCTGCAGCTAGTGCTGCTGCTAGTGCTGCTGCTATTTCTGCAGCTATTCCTGCAGCTAGTCCTGCTGCTAGTGCTGCTGTTAGTGCTGCTGCTATTCCTGCAGCTAGTCCTGCAGCTAGTCCTGCAGCTATTCCTGCAGCTAGTCCTGCAGCTAGTCAGGCGCGTACGCAGGGTCACCTCTAGGGGGGTTTCCAACCGAATCCCAAACAATGAGTTTTAATGTTTTAACCCTTTCTAAAGAGCCCTAGGAATTTTTCAAAATTATGCATTTTTTCGTGTTGTTTGGATCATAACTTCAGTTCTACTCACTCAATCTTCATTATCTTGGGCTTCCTGGAAGTGGAAAGGTACCAGGGAGAGAATGAGGTCGACCCCGATAGCTAGGACCAGTATCTTTGGTGTTCTCTTTTTTTGACGGGCACAATACTATTTTTGGTAGCAATTTGTGTTTGCGCTCGCATATGCGATTGTGGGTGGGTGCGTGCGCATGTGCACGCATTGGTGTGGATGGGTATGTATGTGTATGTGTCTGCCTGTGATTATAGAAAGCGCCGCAAGATCTACCAGTTTCTTTTGCAACACATGACAGATGAGCAGCGCTTTGGAATTACAGCAAAGCTTTGTCAAGAGGTATGTATCCAGTTTGCTGAGAGTGCTATACTCTACACTTTACAAGAGGCATGTATCCAGTGTGCTGAGAGTGCTCGAATGCCGCGGATAGCACCAAGCACCGAGCATGAAGTTCTGAAGAGTTGCAACAAACTAGTCTTGCACCGCTGTGCTCTACTTCTATTGTGTAGTCTACACTACTAGAATCTAAATGTCCACAGTATGCATGTGAGAGAAGCAGAGGGTATCAAATTCAAGTCCTTCTTGGATAAGGGATTTATCCGATCGTGTTGCGATCATGGCAGATATCCAGACAGATATCCGGACTGTGCGCACGCTAGCCTAGTACGAAACATACTTGGAACACTTGGTGTAAGTTTTTGCTGCTGAGACAACATTTGCGGAGTTGTACACTCTTGTGAGCTCGTGCACTCTTCCTATGGCGTACTATGTACAAGTATGTGTGTGTGTGTGTTGTGTATGGAGTCTGACTGACACAATCACGTCCAACCTGAAATGCATAGCTCTGGTGTGTCCCTGGCAGGTGCATCTCCAAAAGCTGATGCTTAGAAGACACTACTGAACATCATTGACAGATGGTTTGAGATACAGGAGCCTTGCATGCACGTGATCTGTGATTCTTGATTTTTGAGTCAGAGATTGCGGGTGCCTTTAGTATAAGTACTGTCTCTCTGTTCCCTGTGATCTTTGATAGGTTTTGTCCAGTTTTGTGGATGGAACATTGTCATTGAAGAATGGTGGATCAGATGTCCTGGCTGATGCTCTCTACATTCTATGCTGCCCGGTATGTATCCTGTCCATGTACATGAATTATACTCCTCACAGTTTTCATTGTTGTCAATGGGTGCTGAAGCGCTTGGAGGAAGCTGGTATAAACACCTCACTAATAAACACCTCACTAATTTCGTCTCTTGTTTCAGACCCTTCGGCACGTGTAAAACTCAACGGCCATCTTGGTTCAGCATTTGCAACAAACATCAGTGTTGTCCACGGATACCCCTCCAGTCTCTTCATTGATACCTACAATGCTCTGCCCTTCTCTATTATGCACAGGAAATTAAACTGTCCTCTCTTCGAGTGCGCACTGCTGACGATTTGGAAGATGAAATGGAGCAGGCTAACGTGGCAGCTGCTAACGCTAAATCCAAGCTGGTTACACAGGTATGCTGGCGTCGCTATGACATCACGTCTACGCTTTATGTACCGCTGCTGGCTAGAAGAACAACTATGCTATTGCTGCGAGTGCTGTTGCTGCGAGTGCTGTTGCTGCGAGTGCTGTTGCTGCGAGTGCTGTTGCTGTGAGTGCTGTTGCTGCGAGTGCTGTTGCTGCGAGTGCTGTTGCTGCGAGTGCTGTTGCTGCGAGTGCTGTTGCTGCGAGTGCTGTTGCTGTTGGTCTTGCTGGTGCTGCTACTGGTCTTGCTGTTACTGTCTCTGCTGTCACACGGAACAACAAAGCCACTGTTGATTTCAATAAGGCCTTTCATACCATTACTTCTCAAGTCAGTGCATGACAGTATTGCGATCAAGCATGCCAACGTCTATTTCTGCAACTTTCTTGGCTTTAGTATACTGAGAAGTGATGGTGCTAGTCAGCGCTATATACATGTGAGCGCAGTATAGGCACCACCAGGACAGCTCTTGTCCTTCCTTTGTGCAATGGGTCTCCTATTCATTGGAGTACAGGTCGAGGTCTCATGGGCTGGACGAAAATGGTGTATTAACTGATCCTATTAATTATCCAACAATGGGTCAGACTCGTCCTGTACATTGCTTTTTTGGCATTTAGAACGTGCACACACTTTGTGCAGTTGACGACTTCTTGTCACTGGCGTCGATTATTAGTCTAACAGAATGTGAATTTATGATGAGTATTAAAATGCTGGTGAAGCTTACTGTAGTTTTCTTCCATTGTCTTATGCCGTTACTGTAGCTGGTCCGAAAGAACGTTATGGAGAATATCATGCCAATCATCATCGATCTTAAGCACATGGTGAGAATACACGTGCACGCACGCGTGCACACACACACACATACACACACACACATGTTGCTTAAAAGCTGATTTGACTTGCATCCAGCTAAACGTCAGCCCAAGGAGGATCATACTGTGATGTGGGGCAGAGGTAGTTTAAGCTTGCATCTGCAGTTGCGCTCGGTGAAATGCAACCCAAAGTGCAGAACTGGCGCCCTGTACCAGTTCTGATTGCATCATTGTATTTGTACATGTGTGCATCGTCCAGGTGTATTTGTGCCACTTCCAGGGCGTCAAGGGCCGTGCAAAATGAGGGCGCCAAATGTGCACTCTGGGTCAGATTTCACCGAACGCAACTGTTCATGTAGCTTGCATTCATTTGCCCAAATGTGGTGTAAGAGGACACACAGAATTTACAGAATTTACAGAATTTACAGAATTTACAGAATTTACAGAATTTACAGAATTTATGGTGTGAACATCACTGTGCTATGTGCAGAATGACCTCGCCCAAATGCAAGGCACTTGTTAAACTTTACTAACCTATCTCTGGCTACTGATATTACAGTTTTCTGTCCGCGTGCGCATGTGTGTGCGCGCGCACGCGCGCGCGCGTGTGTGTGTGTGTCCCATATGGTGCAGTGGTATGTGCAGTCGATTTCCAATCGAGAGGTTGCGGGTTCAATTCCCAATGATTATGGTCGCACACGTCTTTCTTCTCTTTTGCATTCTCCTAACTCTTCTTTCATTCTCCTGGGTGGTTACCAACAGCCAGTGTATGCCAGAGTATGTGGTGTGGCGTGTGTGTGTAAAAAAAGAATGAAAAATGGAAAAAATGAAAAATGAAAAATAGGGATTCATTGGCCAGAAAAAGCCACTTCAATCAGGTGTGTGGTGGATACCAGGCTAAAATTAGTGGCGGTCAATTCATCAGCCTTGCAAGCTGTTGAATGGTGTAATCCCAGCACAAGTTGCTATGTCTAACATAGCTGTTCGCTATCATCGCTTCCGCGATGGGCATGTCTGAGTGTGTGCGTGCGTGCGTGCGCGCGCGTGTGTGTGTGTGTGTGTGTGTTAGAAGTGTACTAGTGTTTCCGCCACTATAGCAGTAGCAGTATCAGTTCACACTCGTGTCGCTATTGACTATTGTTGTTCCACATGTTGATGTGCAGCTGGAACACAAACGTTCGCCACTTCTCCGCGAGCTGATGCACTTCCTACAGGAGTTGATGAAGGACTATCGCAATGATGTTCAAGGTAGGATTAATGCATTCCGCCAGCACAATGTGCAGTGTTGGTGTGTACCTGTGTAAGTATGTACGTGTGTTGCTTCCCTCTATCCTAGACAGTGCCTTATTGTAATGGTATGCACAATGAGGGACAATTTCAAACAATTTCAAACAATTTCAAATTCCTTCTTTTGCCTGTTAGTATTTTAAAACTTTAAAATGAACTTTTGGTCCACGACGAGTTGGTCCACAACCAGTTCACTGTGCACAGCAGCACACTCTTGGTCCACAACGAGTTCACTGTGCACAGCAGCACACTCTTGGTCCACAACCAGTTCACTGTGCACAGCAGCACACATCTTTGAGTCTGAAGAGTCCATTCAGGGGTTATGCACGCTGCGTGGGATGTTGTATCTCTGCACTCGAGTCACGGGTGCCGCAGGCTGTTAACCATGAACTACTTCTGCTTAGATTACTGTAAGTCCACAAATTTTCGGCCCATTCAAATTTCAGCCTCCCAGGGCTAAAAACCCATTTGGGCCCATTCAAATTTCGGCCTGTACGGTACAGTGTACCGCTGCCGCCTGTATGTCACGCTGAACCTTGCAAAACAAAATTTCGGCCGCGACTAATTTTCGGCCAAACATGACCAGGCCGAAAATAGCCGAAAATGAATATGCACCGAATATTTGTAGACTTACAGTAACTCTTGTGTAACCAATGGTAACCAATGGTGACCAATGGTGACCAATGGTGACCAATGGTGCTAGTGAAGCTGATATCAGATCCACTCTTGTGTAATCAATGGTGCTAGTGAAGCTGATATCAGATCCACTCTGATTTAGCCACCCACACTAGTGGCAGCAAGAGGACATAACCCCCAAGAGTGTGCAACTCCAGCTATGGAGTCTGCGACTGCAGAACTTCACATCATGTGCCGAACCCGTACACATTATTTGCACCCTGTGCATGATAGATGCAGGGTTCCACGCAACCTTGCTTTGGGTTCAACTCTCTTGTGGTCACGTTGCACTGTTTGCCAGCGTAACCTTTTGAACTGTGTCACATGATGTAAAGTTCTGCCGTCGCAGCACTGTATAGAGGCTGTGCGTGCAGTTGCACTCTTCGGGCGTATGTACTCTTCGGGTGTATGTACTGTTGGTAGCAGGTACATGTATTACCTTCACTGGGGCCATGGGGTAAATCCAGTTCATGGAGTAAATCCAGTTGGATCCCGGTACGGATACCTTCATGCCGTCAATCCTTTTTCTGCACCTTGTCCTCACCCACTTTCAAGTCCACCCAGAGTTTGGGGATTTCAGAGGGCGTCGGACCACGTGACCAGTTTTGGAGGTCTGTGTGTGTATGTGTGTGTGTGTGTGTGTGTGTGTGTGTGTGTGTGTGTGTGTGTGTGTGTGTGTGTGTGTGTGTGTGTGTGTGTGTGTGTGTGTGTGTGTGTGTGTGTGTGTGTGTGTGTGTGTGTGTGTGTGTGTGTGTTGGTATTGTGTTTGATAGATATACTATCCGCAGATCGCCAACTTGCCCGTGAAATTGAGTATGACTTGAAGAAGTTTGAAGAGGAGGAAGAGAGACGTGCTGCCTGTGAAGCTTCAGTGGTGGCTAAGCCATGTAGTCTCACTCCTCACACACAGATGGTAAGGAATGTAGACTATGGACAGTGATTTGGTATATGATTAGGTACAACTACACTTGTGTGTGTGTGTGTGTCCGTGTATGTATGTGTCTGTCTGTGTATGCATCCATGTATGTGTGTGTGTGTCCAAATGTGTGTCTGTCTGTATGTGTCCATGTGTGTATATGTGTGTGTGTCCACAAGTGTGTTCGTGTGTGTGTTCCTGCACGAGCGTGTGTGTTACTGTGTATGTATGTTTATGTCTGTGTGTGACTGTGTGCGACTGTGTCTGTGTGACTGTGTGTGTCCGTGTTCGTGTGCATGTCCTCGTATGCCTGTGTGTGAATCTGTGTGTGTCTGTGTCCACCCATAGTTTGGTGATTTCAGGGGGTGTCGGCCGTTGGGCGGTTCAATAGCCAATTGACTGCTGCCATCACTATGTTGCCTGTCTTGTGACCTGTTCAACATGCTTTTCAGAGAAAGATGAGATTCCGGGGTTTTGCAAGCCTGATTTTTGCCTAGGTAGATATAGGTTTGATTCACCACTTTGTACATGGGGTATAAACGTGTAATCTGGCTAAAAAATGTTTTTGTACTTTTAAACCCGGATGGAGAACCTCCCAAGTTGGGTGGTCGTCGTTTCGCGTTTTCGAAGTGATCCTTGGCCGTCCTGTGCTGTGTTCCTTCATCCTTTGTCATCATCTTGTCATAGCTAACATTCTTAGTTTGTTGTGATGTTTAGCTTGTTTTTTGTCTGGAGTGCGCTCACCTTCCGCTTTCTTACGTTATTTCATAACTTAGAACCTTCCAAGTTGGAAGGCTTTTAGCAGTTGTTTGTATACATATACAGCTCTTGTTGAGAATCATAGTGACGACTGACTCCCCCTCTCCCAACGCATGCATAACAGTTACACTGCTATGTAGCTTTCTATCCAACTACTAGTGGTGAAACGAATATTCGAATATTCGAACATTCGTTCGGTTTGTCACATTCGAATATTCGTTACGTCACATTCGAGTATTCGTTACGTCACTTCGAATGCAGTGCATGTACGTACATGCACGCCGAACACGGTACAGTGCAGTAGGTACAGCCTGCCTGTGACTTTGTACTGCATGCATGCACATGTATGTCCATACTGGACTGCCAATGTTGCACATAACAGGTATGAACTTCGAAGTACCCTTACGTGGCAGTACATTTTACGTGGCACTACCGTTTGTCATACCTAATAATAAATTAGTATTGACAATATTCATCAAATGACTGAGAGGAGGGCATGTGATGTCATCTGTGTTACCAAAAGAATATTCGTTCATTCGTTCGTTAAGCTGAAGAATATTCGACTAGTAGGTTTTGACATTCGTTTCACCACTACCAACTACATGTAATATTATCTTCCTCTGTGTTGGTTTTGCTTGTGGCCGTGTTGTGCAGATGTCACCATTGCTGGGTACACCTGTGGTCAGTTCACCTCATGCTATCATGTCACCTGCTGCTGGCTTCTCATTTCCACGTATCCGTGGAGCTCGTCCAGCCCCCGCAACACCGGCCGACCTTCTGCGAGAAAACATGCGGCAACGTGCGGCTGCTGCTGCTGATTCTGTTACACGCACACCAGGTGCTGGAACAACATCATCGAGACCAGCTCGTTATGACATGCCTCCTCCATCTCCAGGTGCAGCCACTGCTGTCCCACCCAGTGATGCGTCTCCTACTCTCACCATTTTACCTGCTGCTGCTGCTACCACTACACCAGCAGCTAAGAAAGCAACATTAGCAGTTAGTAAAAGTTCTGCTTCTACCACTTCTGCCGTTAGTACTCCAAGACTATCTGCAACTAGTGTACCCGCAAGTGTCACTACTACTGCTGCTGCTCAGCATACACCAGTGCCAGCAGACATGGTGCAAGCAGCATCTGTTGCTCGCCACACGCTCGCCAGGTTTGTTGACAATAGCACGTCATGTTGCAGTTGTTTTTGTTGCCGTCACCGTAGTCGGTATCGTTGTTTCAAGTCGGTATTCCCATTCCTATCATGCTGATAGGCTGCTTGTAGACCGCCGCCAGATTAGCGTCGGTCTTTAGAATCCCAACTGATGCGTATAAAAGTGCAATAGGTGTAACAATGGGCGGTGGGTGGGGAGAGCTTAGTACTGTTCAATAGGGCTTGAAAGTCCTACGTCACAGCATAGCAACAATTTCAAAAATTATCCACTTGGATCCACTTGGATCCAGTTTTTGTATGGATCCAAGCACACTTCAAGCGGTCTTACTCACAGCAAGGTGATGTAGCCAGTGAAACTGACTGATTTGGCTAATGGGGGCGGGGTGACAACTGGTGGCGAAATAAAAGTCACACCTGCATGCGACATGAGTGGGTTGCTATACACCCACATACTTAGGCAATAGCAAGTCACACCTTAGTGGATCCGAAATAGAAATCTGATGTCAACTTACTACTCCCTGGCCGTTTTTGACGTCATCACTTTCAAGCCCTATATCCTTGATGTGTGGGTTTCTCAATCTTTTGGCCATGTCTGCACATGCAGTAGTTTGAAAGTTCAGGGGAGTTTGGACAATCAAATCCTGGTTTGTGAGTAGTACAGGAGAAGTCCACGTGTAACTCTCATGCATGTGCACACGTCTCTGTGTTTTGAAATACACTGTTCACACTGTTCACACTGTTCACATGCTAGAAATTCACTACAGTCAAGTCAGTAGTCAAGTCAGTAGTCAAGTACTCTCATTGCCAGCCGGCCATTGAACATTGAACATTCAATGAAGAGGGTTACACATTTACAATTTCTCTCCACTGCAATTGTGCTTAGTTTTGTTTGCTGTTTTGCTCTTCTTGTGTGTGTTTGTTCTGTCATTGATCTCATGTAGTGTTGGTCACCCTGCTTTGGTAAGTCTCATGTAGTGTTGGTCAGCCTGCTTTGCCAGTGTAAGTCTCATGTAGTGTTGGTCAGCCTGCTTTGCCAGTGTAAGTCTCATGTACAACATGCATCTACATGTGCACTTGCATGGCAATTATCCGGCACCCTTGGATCGGATGCTGTTGGATAAATGAATATTTTGGATAACTGAAGCTATATAGCCATCTTGTGTTCACACATCAAAAGGACTGTAGAGCATGATTTTGCCCACATTTTTTGATGATCTCTTACTAGTATTATCCTGAGACAGTCGCCGGGCTTATCTGTATAGACTGACTTGCATGTAATGTTGCATGAAGGCACCGTTCATGGTGCTCACTGTCCACATCTTCCTGTAGTAGGACTGTAAATATACATTGTACAAGCTGTCAGTGTGCTGTTGGATAACCAACGTGCCGGATGACTGACCACCAAATAAGCGACATGCAACCGTGTTGTGAATGGGGGGGGGGGGGGGGGGTATTTGTTTTTCCAGGCCAACGCTGGTACACTGTCAAGCATTCTCTCCAACATCCAACAGTAGACCACACTCGATAGTCGGAGTCGATACATAATTACTTGTCATTACATGTTGTTAGGCTTCTTTGCTGTGTGTGAGATTGTTACTTTTAAAACAGCTCTGGTTGCTGTGCATTGATGATCTTGCTGGGTTTTCTTCTTCTCTCTTTTTATGCAATTGGGACAACTTGATCAGGCCCGAGCTGTCAGTACGCCACAAAGTAAGTATGAGATGGCTAGCCCTTATGAAGTAGCGCGGCCAGTTGCTATTGCTGCTGCTGCTGTTGCTGCTGTTGCTGCTGCTGTTGTTGCTGCTGCTGCTTCACAGTCGTTGCTGTTGTTGTTCTTTTTCCAGTTCTGGATCCTATGAGCTGGCACTAGCATTGCATCTAAAGAAGTTTTTCTCTGCTTTGAACACAGTCTCTACTCAAGGCACATCTCCAATACCAGCGCATTGTATGCATGAATGAATGCATGCACATGCTCACATGCATTGAAACATTAAAGGGGAAGTATACCCTAAAATCAAATTTTCACCAGTTGTAGTCTTCTGAGTGCTGAGTCGAATGGTCTTGGTCCGAGGAAGCTGCGACGCTCCCTTCCTACTTGAATCCCAATCGAACTCGCGCACTTCCACCGAAACTGGGTGACTGCGCCCTACTAGATGGGGATTTGTATGCAAAATGTCACTAAAAGCGCCATTTCGTTCTTATAAAAGCACGGATGACCGCGATTGGCCCATATGTTGTAGTCTTTTGGACGCTGAGTCGACTGGTTTTGGTCCGAAAAGGCTGCGATGCAGCGTTCCTCCTTTATTCCCAATCGAACATGGTTGAAGAAGCGGTCACGTGCTCCTGGTTGCCCAAATCACCTGGTCACCGCGCCAGCAGGCGACAACTTTCACACCAAGGTTCAACTCGAGTTCAACTCGAGTGACAGGACTGCACCCAAAAAAGGTCAAACAGGCTAGTAAGTTGTACCCTGCAGGCACGGTGACCAGGTGACTGGTGTACGCAGGAGCACGTGACCGCTTGTTCAACCATGTTCGATTGGGAATAAAGGAGGAACGCTGCATCGCAGCCTTTTCGGACCAAAACCAGTCGACTCAGCGTCCAAAAGACTACAACATATGGGCCAATGGCGGTCATCCGTGCTTTTATAAGAACGAAATGGCGCTTTTAGTGACATTTTGCATACAAATCGCCATCTGGTAGGGCGCAGTCACCCAGTTTCGGTGGAAGTGCGCGAGTTCGATTGGGAATAAAGGAGGAAGGGAGCGTCTCAGCTTCCTCGGACCAAGACCATTCGACTCAGCACCCCGAAGACTACAACTGGTGAAAATTTGATTTTAGGGTATACTTCCCCTTTAATGGTGACAGTCTCTAAAAATTTACTTGCCAATAGAAAATTGTTGCAGATGTATGTACAAATTTATCACTAAAGGGGGCATGTGATGCGCTACATGAATATAAAGTTATAAAAGCACTGGGGGGGGGGTCGAAAATATAAGACACGTGTCCTCCAATATAGGCACAGATGTCCTCCAATATACTAGAGAAATACGGCATTGGGACATAAATTATCCCGGCTTGTTAAGTCTAGTCTTTATGTGGTCTCAGAGACTTACAGCTGGTACCCCCCCCCCCCCTACGCCTGAACACTTGCCTACTGCATGTTTACTACTGCATGTTTACTACTGCCGAGTATCCGTGTTACATGATAACAATAATTATGATACTGTTGCTGCTATGCTCTGCCGTGTATTGCTGATTATATCAGATCGTGATAGTGGACAGGATGCAAGTTTATCATTCCGGGGTTCCATTAATGGTCTAATTCCGCCATCTCCCATTTTGCCCATGGCACGGATCCAGGTGTGCAGACGTACACAAGCGCAAGGTAACTCCACTTAGTCATACAACTGTGAACTGAGCCTTGCTTACGCCTGTCATACACTAGCAACATAGATAGGTGTGTTGTCAGACTGAGATGACGTGGCAACTGTGCACATGATGTAGCACATGACAATCATGCTCAAGCATGCATAGAAATGCATTGCACTAGCATAGCATACAATAACTAGTGCCTCGCCTTTGAAGAAAACGATGTTGGCTCTTGGCAAAGAAAGTTAGCAAGGTTTGCCTCGAACATAACTGCTGTGCCTGCATGTCCTCTCAATAAGTTAGTACAGAGAGAGCTGATGGTTTGTTACTGTCTAGAAGTGCCGTATTTTACCAATTATAACTCGACTTCGGTTATTTGTGTAAGTTGACCCCCTATAATTTGTTACGAGTTATGACTAACTGTCCACCAACGTAACGAGATCTTCTACAGTCAGCGAGTGCGAGTTCAACCCTATAATTTGGGCATTGATTTCTCGGTTAAATAGTGGTTAAAGCCCAGTTGCACAGTGGGACAACAGCAGCGAAGTCAAAGCTCCCGGTGAACAGCAAACATCGTCCTTAAGATGTTAACCTTGCATAACCTTGCATAACCCTGGGGGAATAGCAGCCATGTACATGTAGTTTGTTGTCTTTAGGACTGGACGTTTGGGACTTTGAACAGAGGAATGTGTTAAACCCTTAATGGGGGTAGTGTAAAGTCCGTAAATGAGTACAGTAAAACCTGCCCCCTCACTGGACTCCCTCACTGGACTCCCTCACTGGACTCCCTCACTGGACTCCCTCACTGGACTCCCTCACTGGACTCCCTCACTGGACTCCCTCACTGGACTCCCTCACTGGACTCCCTCACTGGACTCCCTCACTGGACTCCCTCACTGGACTCCCTCACTGGACTCCCTCACTGGACTCCCTCACTGGACTCCCTCACTGGACTCCCTTCGTTCGTTTTTGATCTACAGGTTTGGGCAGAAACTACTTCTTTCGGTAGAGGAGTTCGTTTTTTGAAAAAAAATTCTACTCAAAAGGGTAGATTCTACTTTCCTCTACCAGCTCTACCGGGGAAAAGTTGGTAGAATCCGGTAGAAGTTGGTAGAGCTACGGGATTTCCAGCAAGATCAAGGATTTGTACACAACTCCATACAAAAAAGAAACATTTCACGTACACATCGTGTAAACTACTAGATCTGGTAGAACAGCGTTCGTACACTTGCCTCTACCATCTACCTCTATCGGTAGAGTGACTCTACTCTACTCTACCAGGTAGCTAAAAACGAACGCAGCCCTAGGCAAAAAAGCATAGGGATGTTATAAATTTTTCATTTCTCCTATTTTTTTTTCCAAGACATAACCTGGGATTCGAACCCGCACTATCGCCCTGCATGCATCCCCCGATACACTTCGCATACATACTCATTCTTCCAAGTTGCTTCACGTTATGATCTTGCATTTGAAAGCCCTATTTGAATATTGTGGCCAGCTGTTTGTGGCCAGTTGTCTTTGATGGTACGGTACGGGACAGGTACGGTCGAGGATATTACGGCACCGTCTACCACCTTGATGATCTAGGCAAAAAAAGAATAGGGATGTTATAAATTTTTCATTTCTCCTTTTTTTTCAAGACATAACCTGGGATTCGAACCTGCACTATCGCCCTGCATGCATTCCCCCGATACACTTCGCATACATACTCATTCTTCCAAGTTGCTTCACGTTATGATCTTGCATTTGAAAGCCCTATTTGAATATTGTGGCCAGCTGTCTTTGATGGTACGGTACGGTACTAGATAGCGCCAGGCATGCCGATGGCACAAACAAACAAACACGGAACGAGAGAGCTTGGAAGCTCAGGGCCCTACGCTATGCTTTTTGCCGTGATGACCTAGGCAAAAAAAGCATAGTAAATTTTTCATTTCTCCTATTTTTTTTTCAGACATAACCTGGGATTCGAACCCGCACTATCGCCCTGCATGCATTCCCGATACACTTCGCATACATACTAATTCTTCCAAGTTGCTTCACGTTTTAATATGATCTTGCATTTGAAAGCCCTATTTGGATATTGTGGCCAGCCATCTTTGATGGTATGGTACGGGACAGGTACGGTCGAGGGTAATACGATACCGTCTACCACCTTGATGACCTAGGCAAAAAGCATAGGGATGTTATAAATTTTTCAATTCTCCTATTTTTTTTCAAGGCATAACCAGACTAGTCTGGGATTCGAACCCGCACAATCGCCCTACATGCATTACCCGATACACTTCGCATTCATACTTATTCTTCCAAGTTGCTTCACGTTATGATCTTGCATTTGAAAGCCCTATTTGAATATTGTGGCCAGCTGTTTGCGGCCAGCTGTCTTTGCTGGTACGGTACGGGACAGATACGGGATAGCGCCAGACGGAGGTCCGCCCGCCCACCACAAACACCAAATTAAAGCTGTGTGGACCCTGGCTAGCGCCAGACGTTACTGAAGTAACGTCTTTTGCATAGCTACGGGAATAAAATCACTGCTTTACATGTGCCGCGGCATGCACCTTCACATAAATACAATCCGTACCATGTGCATATCAATTTTTTGTCAGATCTGGATAAGAAGAACTCCAGATAAGACGAACGAACTTGTTCAGTGCCTTGAAGTTCATCCTAAAGAGGTTTGACTGTAGTTTGAGTAGTGTGCGAAATAAGTACATGTACCAATACTGTTCACGCATGCAGAGAGTAGCATGCACTGGAGAGAAACGGCTTCTCCATTACATGCACGTCAGGTCCGGCAGTTAGTTCGTCTCCCAAAGTTAGTACGCCGCCCAAAAGTACGGGTTGGACCACTAAATTTGATAATAATTACGTGAAGTAGCTCACGATTTTCCTACCGACGACCGTGACTTGTCACTTGACCACCAGCTAAAGACTGCCACCCAGATCACATGAGAGCACCATCAAACCTTCGACTCCTTAAACCTGCAAGAAAGCACCACTCACCACTTCTTACTCACTAAACAGTGTTTCTGTATCAGCTCAACTGATGAGGGCTGAACTGAAGCACTGTGTAACTGAGCAGGGAGTGGTGCTTTCTTGTAGGTTTGCCAAATGGAAGGTTCGACGTGCTTATTATAATAATGCTCAAGATGATATTCCTGAGCCAGTCAAATGTCACGTGAGCTCCAGCGTTGACAGCAGCCATTTTTTTATTGCTGTTGAGAAAGAAATGCATTCTAGGCCTTTGAGTGACGGTTTTGTTACAATAGAGAGGTTTCGCACGGCGTTTTTTGTCGTGACATAAAATGTGGCGCCGGAAATGGCGTTAAATGTCGAATTTGAACGCGAGTCGCACTCCGCTCACGTTCTAACCCATCGTGAGTTTTCGACGAATTTTTGCAGGATATTTTATTATTTTACATCAAGAAAATTCCGAATTGACAGAGATACGGTTAGTTACAACTAATTCGGAAAGATTTTTGTTGCTGCACACAACGTGAAACCTGTCGAACCTAAACGTTGAGTCTTTGGCATTGACATTGAAGTTGAAAAAAAGGTCGCGCAAAGCCTCCCTAATCACAGTTTATGTAGCACTTTCAGTACATCTCATGATAAACTAATAATTTGATAAACTAATAATTTGATTGTGTTTTATCTGCTGCAGCGGGTAATGGCCATACATCTGACGGTCGCCCACTCGTCTCAATACCTGGTCCACAGGCAGGGTAAGCAGAGCTATGTACTTCCTCCGCGTCATAAAAATTATCGCTTCGCACATCACAATATTTGTGACTTGGCTCGTCTTAGTCAGACTGTCGGAATCGCTGTTTTCTGTGTTCAAACACTGGTGCGACCCTTCCTGCGCAATGTCTACTTGTTACTGAAGCCGTGGTGGTCTCTGACTTTGTCGGAGCTCTCTTCCGCACCAAGCAAATTCATCGCGCTCCGCACTATTCCGTCCCAGAGCGCATTTCGTTTTCTGCAGTTCGCGCCGTCCCACATCGTTCGCGTGGGCATTTTATCAAGACTGCAAGCTCGGAATAAGAATCCTGGTGTCTCTCCTGAATACGAAATGCTGAAGTTGACAATGGCAAGAACAAAGTGGTCTCAAATTCCTACAATGTGCTACTTGTGGCGCATGTTGCTGCGAAGGTAGCAGGTCTGAAAACACCAATAAAATCAGCGAAGCGCTTGCCAAGGAAAGAAGGTGCGGAACGGCTTACCCTATCCCGCTAGAAGGTCGTTACAGTGTACTTGAAAAATGCTAGCTTGCTTTCATCGCCTTCCACCTGGAGGCATGGATTGCTTGAAAACGAAGTTGACCTGAATTTGAACGTGCGTCTTCTTCAGCGTATTGTTGAGTGCTGAAGGGTATGCCTCAAACTCTGATGAAGAGGTCGACCTAAGCTGCAAGTGCAGCGAAGCGGGAGGCCACAAACTAAAACTTGGTCCGTCGACAATGCTCTGCCTCAATTTCTAGCTGATTTCTTTGCCCTTCGAGTGGACAAAATAAATTCGAAAAATCGCTCTGGGAAGCGACAATTTTAATGACGCGGAGGAAGTATACCAATGTCATGATGTACATCATCGGAGCATGTTCTTACAAGACAATCTCTTCCCAAATTTACACCGAAAGCAGACCCACCTGGGTTTATTTTCTATCACCTGACTTCACTGGGAAACAACACTGGAGAGAAGATGAGCAGCACCCTCACTTGGTTGAGCTCATTGACACCCAGGGCATGCGCTAAGGATTAAAATGTGCTCTGACGCAATGTCCTGCCAGTTGCAAAAATGGCCGGACATGTCCGGACATGCAAATTTTCACATCAAATCACACAATGTTCAGAAGCAGCATGATCTTTGAAGGCTGGCGTTTTCAGGTTCCTTGAGCCAACGACGAAGGTGTCAGAAAAATTATTGCTGCTGCGAATTTTATCAACAAAACGGGAACACATCTTACACTTCAAATTTTCGACAACGCTATGATCTGAGGGACTGCGCTCATAGCTCAGCCAAACAGAAGTTGAAAGCTCCCTATCATACTCGGCGACCCACTTGTCACAAGTGGTCGTCTTGACTCCTCTGGGCTTCTTTCCAAGAGGAGCACCCGCATCAGCGGTGCTTGGCTTTCTCTTGCCAGACGACATCACTAATGACTATGAGACAAAGGATTGAAGTGCCTTTAATTTTTTTGTACTTTGCAAAAAAGTGCGCGGACACTTTGTCCGGATGTGTACAAAACATCCGGAAACTGACCGTAAACGGTCGGAAATTGTCCGATGTCCGACTGTTATTTCGCGCCCTGGACACCTCTATCACATCCTGCTTGAATGATACACATTTTCCTTCTTCGTTTTAGCATTCCCCGCCTTATCCAGGCAGGGAATCTCATTTTTCGATCTGGCCTTCATTCGGCTGAGATCAGACGGCAAAAATGTGTCCCAGTTGAACTTGTGCACATTCTTGCACAACAAAGACAGAGTCGAAAGGAGTACACAGTCAGTGTATGACTAGTGCACACATGTCACATATCGAAAACAATCATGTCATGTGAACCTTTTTTCGTACGAGTGTGTTTGCTGATATAATTCTGTCTTTTTCTTGTTTTTTTTAGGTCAGTTGCTCCTTCTCAGTGGGATATCGCTTCCCCCAAGGTATGTGCAGTGTACAGTCTGTATCGGTTATAGCGTACCCTTTTGTTTTCAGCAATATTGTAACAATATCCGATGTATCACTACAAGCGAGATTACATCCACATATACAGTATACCGTAAAGTACCGTTGATCCGTCCCCTGTCGAATTATCTACCTATGAAGCGACTTCAGCGTATGTCAAAATACGGTGTTGAACCGGTGCATGCACTGCTGTACACACCATGTGCCAGTGCAGTGCCAGTGGATAAAAATGTGCACAACCCAGCCAGGCAAGGTGTACATAACACTGCACTTGAGAGCCTTGATCTAATTACCGTCCCCTGTCGAAAAAGCAGCTGGGAAGCCGCAGGGCGCAGGGCGGTATCAATAGTAGTTTACGGTACTATCATCAGCCCCCTCTCCCTATCGATGCACAATGTACATCTTTTTCTGATTCAGATTCCTTCTGCTGTCACATCTCAAACTGGAAAGGACCCATCCACTGAAGCGGTCAAACGGACCCAGCGAGTGCGGCGCTCAAAAGGTTCTCAGTCCGTTTCACCTCCGCTGTCCAAACGCCCAGACCGTGCAGCAAATTCTCGGGCATCTCGGTCACGAACAGCTCAACAATCACCTCAAACTGACCCCAGCCATCCTTCGCCAAAGCGGTCCAGAGAGAGTGAACGTGATGACTCAACATCTCCTGCTTCCATGACGAAACGACGCAAGCGCCGACATAGCAGTTCACGCCAGTAAATGTGTTCGGTTGAGTCAACAAATCCACCTTGCTGCCAGCTGCAGACTGGACTACACTATCCACAGTGTCCAAGACGTGGCCAGCATCTACTTGCAATATCGCCTATCGCCTTATGTTCCAGCGTCACCTTCTGTGCACATGTTTATTTTGTCATCAACTACGGTTGATCTTCTGCTCCATCATCAACTATGGTTGATCTGTTCCATCATCAACTATGATTGATCTGTTCCATCATCAACTATGATTGATCTGTTCCACCATCATCAACTGTGACTCATCTTGCCTATCATCTTTATACTGTTTTTACTCACACCTTATGTGCCATTTTGCTGATGCTGCTAGCACTAGTTAAGCATGTGCTCTTGTGCCCTTTCACACTTTGGTTAGATACTGTCTGCTGCGTATGTGAGCACGTGCATCACTGCATACATGAAGTTGCATGTTCTTTTCATAAGATTGGATAATTCTAGCGCAGCTGTCCTTTGTTTGTGCAAGTGTACTTTCTACATATCAACACATCACATCGGCTAGCCAATGTTCACGAGGAACACTATTCATTGCTACCGCTGTCTTTGATCTCCATGCTTATTATCATAATATGAAGTTACTCAATCTGCGCATGAAATTAGGAAGAAGTGTGTGTGTGTTGTACACGTGCGCTATGCACATTACATCTCAATTCCAGATCGTCTGCTGCTCTCTTTTTTTGCTGAATTTCTTTGGTCTGTTCCTGTTGTCGCTGGCTGTACTATTTTACCGTCCCAATACTTGCAGAGTGATTGCAGCCCCCCCCCCCCCCCCCCCCCCCCCTTAGCTGAATGCTGCATGCTTGCCTAATTTGCCTACACCGAACGACTTTGCCATATGCACAGCAGGTTGCAGAATGTTGTTCAACTAACTAAGTTACTTGTTGTATTGGTGGCAGAGGGGGAGATGTCTACATGTATGGAGGGTGGGAGATGTCTACATAACATGTATGATTTCACGTATGCAGTCTTCATGTACATGTACATGATATTGGTACATGACATTGTATTGGTAAGCATCTTCTTGACACGTGACGTTCCTTGCCTTGCCTGTCGAGGAGAGCTCTACAGATTCGCCATCCAATCACGAATGATTATGTCAGCACGATGCGAATCGTGGAGTTCGCCGAACCATCATCTATGGAGGATATTATTATCTTTTGCCACCAGCCCCTTACAGCTTACGTGTTGCCTGGCAGTTCGCCAATCCACGACGCGTCTAGCGAAACACTCTTGCGCAACAATTTCCTGACCGCATTCTGATTAATTTTCATGCACATAATCAATACTGGCCCAGACAGATTATAATATCCTGCCAAAATACCGAGATACTGAGTATTGGGTAAAATCAAGAGTACAGTCATAACGTGGTTATGTGCTCTTGGTAAAATATGTGCCTGATATTGTACAATAAACAGATAATGTACTTGGATTTCCTTGTTTCTTACCCGGTACCCGGACACGTGTGTGAAAACCCGTGTTGAGAAACCGACCCTGCGATTCTTATGAAACATTGTGTACGGGAAGTGGCTAAAATACACGTTTTTCCTGAGCAAAATGGAGCAAAATACTGTATTGGGTTTCTTGTGCCAGGCTCGGCAAAAATTAATATCGAAGATCTCGCAGCAACATTTTGCGGCAAGATATTGAGCTAGCGCGAGGCGAGAGGAGCAGAATCTGTCAATGCACATATATCTATCTAGCTGTACCATGGCAGTGCTCATTCGTCCTCGAATTGGTGATGGGGCTGTGAAAATCTAGCGGCAGTTAGCACCTGTACCTGCGCGCGAGTCAACGTTCAACAGCAGCTAACCAGTACCTATCAAGACAGGGGCAAGATTAGGGCCAGTCTACATTTTCTTTTCCTGTTCATTCTTGGACGTAGAAGTCATGTTCATTCTTCTTCCAGCACAACTGTACTATCTGTACTATCTGTACTATCTACAGCCAGTCAGTAAGCAGTAGAACCAAGAGTAGACCTCTACTCTTGCCTTTCTTGGTAGAACAACGAGCGTGCCTGCTTCTCTTCAGTTTTTACAGAGGATAGTTCGCCAATTCCACTACATGCTCTGCCGGCGTTGGGCACAGCTGCAAGCGGCTCAGTGTTCTGACTAACAGCAACATGATCTGCTCTAAACTAAAGGAGGTGGCGGAAGCTTCGCTAGAGTTCATGAGAGTTGTGGCTGCTGCGTGCAACTGGTAGCGTATCTTCCCAGTAAATCTTCCACATACTGCACAGTACATCATGGTACGAGCAGTGTACCTGAGAGGCTGAGTGCTGTTTGTCGTACTTGCACTTGTCACAACTACGCTGACAATCCGTACATCGCTATGGTTGTGTGGTTTATGACTGCTATGTGAGTATGTCGGCTCATGCCGGTTTCCATGGTTACTTCCGCGCAACTCGACTTCGTTAATTCGTCCGTCACGGCGTCACTGCGTCAGACAGTACCGACTAATTCGCGTGTACCGGTACATGGTGTTCTGCATGGCGCATATGCCGATGGACCGGCAGATCTACCAGTGTGCACAGTCCTGTATTTTCGGTGCGTCACATGATATGACCAGATGCTGAGATGCTGAGATGCTGAGATGCTGAGATGGCTGCCGCGCTCCTTTACTAGTACAATACGCAAGTCCTACTGCAGCAGACGTGGGTTGGCAAGTCGGCGAAGAAAGGCGCTCAACCCAATCTTGCTCAGGTAGGGACAGAGACTGTCTGAGGATGTTGTTGAGTTTGCATGCTTGCCAGTGTTGCTTGCTTTTGTTTTTGGCACACGACATCACTTTTTCTACGAAAATCAGCAAAAGCCTGAGTACTCGTAGTAATAATTTTAAAGGGGAAGTATACCCTGCAGTGCTATAGCGCTAGTGGTGTATGAGGGGGGGGGGGGGGGGGGGGGGGTGCTCAAGCACCCCCCCCCCCCCCGAAAATTTCGACATAGGCCAACGTGCATGATGTACCCATGCCGCTAAAAGCATCATAACTTTGCGACCGATAGTCCGATTTACGCAAATGACGGCCCATTGGAAAGGTCTTGAGTGAGGCTATGCATTGAGATGTGATTGAATTTGAAAACTGTATTGTGCCCAAACTCTGAAAGAAGAAATAGGGATGTTCATAAACCAGACTTTGAACGTGATTTTTGGTGGCACAATTATCAGATTTTTCTAACTGATTTTGACATGAATACATGATTGTACTTTAATGTGCCAGGACAGAGGGCTATCCATATCGCCAGGGCCTCGACTTGTTCTATTCCGATTTTCCAGGAACACTCCGATCAGTTGTTCCGACAAACCCGGCGACCGAAACGATTGTCCACGAAAGTGTACTAATTTGTTGTTTCAGGCCCTTGAAATCCTGAAAATGCCACGACTTCTAAAGGGGTCACTGCCCCCTCGACTCCCTGCCATTTAACACCTCCGACACTGCTTCTGATTTCTACCAACATAAAAGTGGCAGCCCTCTGCTTACTATCCTGTTTGTGAAGCTATCAACGTCCATTGCACTCGCTTCCTGGGAGCTTATTTACTCATGCCAGAAGTTGTAATGGTAGTTTTGCCTTCTTGCCGCCCATTCAATAAGTGAAGTACTTTGTTACCAGTACTTCAAAGAGCAGTAGTCAAATCGAAAATGTTTTCGTGATAATTATGATCTAGTAGCCTACAATTGTAGTAGCGTACTCTTGGATCTAGCTTACAAAGGAAGTAAAATATTTAATGTTGTCCTCCAAAGGGAGGGATATACTTGGGATTGGGTACAGTCAGTCCTCGCTTATCCGGTCCTCGTTTATCCGGATCCCTCGCCATCCGGAAGAAAATCGCTGATTACCGATGTGCAGCATATGTTATGCATACAACATAACCGGACCTCGCGATCCGCATACCGGTGCAAGATTTTGCGTACAAACTGGTTAAAATGTGTACAAAAAGCTTCGTCGTATCCGGTTGCACGTGGCTTGCAGAAGCTAGAATCAGGAAGTTGTACAAGCAAACGAGGTCCTTGACCTGCTGGGTGCATGCAGACAGCACTCAGCTGCATGCACTTGTCATTTTTCTCGCTTGTTTTACATACTGTGCACGCTAGTTGTACTGCATAGGACCCGTCTACATGTATGTATGACGCCACTGCTTTTGACATGCCACATGCATATCCAGTATGTGTGTTCAGTTATCCGGTTCCCTCGCCTATCCGGATATTTTTGTGGAAAACAGATCTGTGCGGTTAAGCGAGGTCTGACTGTACTTCAAGGCCTCATGGTTGCTCCATCCTACAAAACAGGTCCTACATTTTCCCTCGACTTGGAAAATCATGACACATAGTGCACTAAAAATCAAGATACATGTAGTTGTAACGGGCCGCAGTCTCTCTCGGAGGCAAATGCAGACGGGTCTCAGTGAACACACTGTTGTTAACTTTATTATTGAACTAAACGGAAGACTACATTGTAAACATTAACTCTGACTCTAACTCTAAACTGACATTTCTAACTGGCATCTCTAACTGGCGTTTCTAACTGGCGTTTCTAACTGGCGTATAGAGAATTGTGAACAGCAGCTTTTATAGGCAGACAGCATACGTGCTGCAACAGCAATGGTCACGGCAAAGCTAAGCAGAGAGAAGAAGAAAGGTCAAAGTATGATGTGTGGGCTACAGTCATTGCACAAGGAATGCCATTTGATTCTATGCAGAAGAAGGAGCTGAATGCAGTGTGGGCAATGGGTGTAAAGAGGCGGTTGAAAGTGCAGCAAAAGGTCTAGAGTAGTATTTCTAAGGTCAATATGAAACATTGAATGCAGTGCAGTGAGACTAGTTACTATGCACATCATGCATCTGCAAGCACGGTAGTAAGAGTTGCAAGTGCGGTAGTAAGAGTTGCAAGCACGGTAGTAAGAGTTGCAAGCACGGTAGTAAGAGTTGCAAGCACGGTAGTAAGAGTTGCAAGCACGGTAGTAAGAGTTGCAAGCACGGTAGTAAGAGTTGCAAGCACGGTAGTAAGAGTTGCAAGCACGGCAGTAAGAGTTGCAAGCACGGTAGTAAGAGTTGCAAGCACGGTAGTAAGAGTTGCAAGCACGGTAGTAAGAGTTGCAAGCACGGTAGTAAGAGTTGCAAGCACGGTAGTAAGAGTTGCAAGCACGGTAGTAAGAGTTGCAAGCACGGTAGTAAGAGTTGCAAGTGCGGGGTGCGGTGTAACACGCGTGACCAATACATTGAAAGTGATTCACGCTGCAGCTGTGTGATCACCAGCGTGCCAACGCTACATAGTATCAACCGTGGCATCCATGAATCACATGCACAGGAATGATGCACTATTCGGCTCTAGGAAAAGGTTGGAGCACCCCCCCCCCCCCCTGATTCCGGATCTTGCGTACGCCCCGCCCTGAAATCAAATTTTCACCAGTTGTAGTCTTTGGGGTGCTGAGTCGAATGGTCTTGGTCTGAGGAAGCTGAGCTGGACGCTCCCTTCCACCTTTATTCCCAATTGAACTAGCCACTTCCACCGAAACTGGGGGACTGTGCCCTACTAGATGGGGATTTGTATGCAAAATGTTGCTAAAAGCGCCATTTCGTTCTTATAAAAGCACGGAGGACCGCGATTGGCCCATATGGTGTAGTCTTTTGGACGCTGAGTCGACTGGTTTTGGTGCGAAATGGCTGCAATGCAGCGTTCGGCCCTTATTCCCAATCAAACACGGTTGAGTAAGAGGTCACGTGCTCATTCATACACCAGTCACCATGGTCACCTGGTCACCTTGCCCACAGACTACAACTTACAGCCTGTTTGGGCGCGATCCTGTCTCTCGAGTTGAACCTTGTTGTGAAAGTCGTAGCCTGCAGGCACGGTGACCAGGCGACTGGTGTACGCATGAGC